TGATTCATGAGCTGGCGGCCGCGAGGAGGCTTGTCATCAAGACCGTGGCTGTGTGCTGTCGGTAGCCCGTGTTGGCAACGTCGGTCATGGTCGTCCCGGGCTGCGTCGTCTCGGCGGTCGTCCCGGGCTGCGTCGTCCCGGCCGTCGTCCCGGCCTGCGTCGTGGTATCACCCCAAACTGCCGAACAAGCAGCTTGGCTTCCTCCAGAGCAGGCCACCTCCGTGTCATAGGTGTATGCACTTGTGGAGGGACCGTTGTGGCAAAGCAGGTCCGCATTGGTCTGGAAGCCAGTGGAAGCACTGGAGAAGCCAAGGTCGGCAACGGTGAAGCCCCACGTGCTTGACATCACGTCAAGGAGGTTCTGCCCATAGTAGCTCTTCCCGGAATTCTCACGAATGCCTTCGGCGTTCGCTGCAGGAAAGCCGTAGAAGGTGCTGCGCTTGGCTTCATTCTTCAGCATCCACCAGCGCATGCTGCGGTCCACGTTCGCGTGATGGAACATGAAGAGGGGGTCATTCGGCGACGTGACCGGGTCCTCGAAGTCGCCGCTGTTGCCGCCCGAGCTGCCGCCCACCTGAACGCTAGCGTTAGGAGGGTTCAGGAGGGTGGCTGCGCTTCTTGGGGTGTACACGCCAAGCCGTTACTGGTGGGAACTACGGGAACTACACCCTCGAACGTCCCCTACCTACTGCGCGCCTGCCCATGTGGTCCTCCGTGAAAGCTCCCGCTGACAGTCGCATCGCCCTCGATGCACTTGTACCAGTCATTCCAAAACCCATCCAAGTTCGCGCAGATCCAGAAGTCGTTGGTGGGGTACGAATAAGTGCTCGAGCCGTAGCGTGTCATCATGCTGTTCGCGTTGTTGTTGGTGGGCCCCCGCAGCATTCCGGTGGGCGAGCCAGTGTATGGCGAGCTGCCGGTAGGGTTGTAATCTGACAAGGAAAAGCCAGCCTTGATCCACCAGTTCGCGAAGGCACCGTCGACAACTTGAGAGTCGGACCCCGTGCCAGGAGCACTTCCGAAGTAGGTCTCCGAGAAGATGGACGGAGAGGTCACCGTGGAGTCCCAGTATGGCAAAGCACCAATCGTGCTGTCCACACTAAGCAGCGCATTCTCGAATTCCAAGACGAAGGCGCTGTGCCAAGTCATGAACTGAGGGCCGAAGTGAGCCTGGTCGCCCCGCACATCAGAATACGCCGCGGCGTGCTTGGCCGGGAAGTAGTCGTAGGTTCGGAACGCCTGGCCATATGTTGCGACGCCGGCCGCCTGCGTCGTGTTCTTCATGACCCACATGGCGTCTGTCACCTTCTTCCAATCTGCTGCGCTCAGCGTCCGCAACTCCTTGCGCACTCGTTGTGTGCTTTGGTCGACCGTTGGTGCACTGCACGCAGGGCATTGCACCACCGTCGACGCGTTGGCAGGAACGGTGATGCGGAACAGGAGCTTGTTGTCCCGCTCCAAGTCCGAAGACCAGATCATCTTCGACCTCGTCTCTGACAAGAAGGCCATCGGATCCAAGCACTCATCTTCCGCTACTGTAACAGCAACCCCCCCGATCGGGTCGTAGTTGCCGTAATTGACGGAGCATCCGCCATTGTTGGTCAGCGTTTGCTGAGTTGCCGGGCTTGTGGCCGTGCCGCAGCAACTCCTGGCCGCGTCCCAAGTCGGGGTCCTCCCCCAACCCGTCTGCTGGGCGGTGTACTCGGTCGCTGACACCCAGCCACCGCTGGCCTGGTAGCCACCAGCCATCCATCCTGCAGGCTCTGCCACCGAAGTGACCGCACATGGTGCCAGGTTGCTGCTGCTGCAGCCTGCCGCAATGGACGCGTCGGTAGGCCCGTGCGTCAGCACGAAGACATTCCAGGCAGCGCCGGTCACGGTGCCATCCGAGAACTCCGCCATAAGCGCACCGTCGCCAAGGCCTGGGTTCGAGGTCTCGACATACTCGTACCCGGAGCTGCTAGCGTAGTCCATACACATGATCGCGTATTCCTTGTCGGAAACGCCGTCCCATTCGAACGAGACGGAGACCGCGTTGTGCGGCGTGAACGTCATCGGGTCCTTCTTCACGAGAACTCCATTGAACCAAAACTCAAAGTAGTTGTCGCAGTAAATGTAGCCGGTGATGGTCTGCGGGCCGTTCACGTTCGTCCTGCACTCCACGTCGGCATTGATGGTGATGTGTGGCTCTGTCAACGCAACCCCTCCGCCTCCGCCACCTCCGCCACCCCCGCCGCCTCCGCCGCCTCCGCCTCCTCCGCCTCCTCCGCCGCCTCCGCCACCTTGTCCCACTACACCGGGCAGAAGGGCCGCGGCCACCAACAAAGACAGCACCGAGCGCCCAAGTTGGATCATTGCAAGAATAGAGACGAGAGCTGACACTGAGAGGACACTGCTATATCACTCGAAACTGGGAAGACAGGGCCGCGAATTGCTGATTACAAGTCAGCTTTTAGAGAGGACCTTTGAGGTCTTCACAGCTGTGGACAACTCTCGCACACTCAGCACGTTGGCTTGCAAACTGCCCACAGAAATCCGCGGCAAGCCCCAGAACCACGCCTCGGTTTCTCGCGGCGCGGCGGCCCAAGAGTTCCTCTCGAGTTCATCCACACATTCAGAACCCTACCTCCAAGTTCCGGCAAACAGGCATTATCATCCGCCGACCGAGAAAATAAAAAGAAAACTGGTTGCGTCTGGCACTGGCCCCCTTCATCCCCCTAACCCCTTCCCTTCCCACCAAGCCAGCATCCGCCCCCTTCTACCCAACCCCCAGCCCCCCTGCCCGCCTGCCCTGTCCTGTGATTCGTCTTCCCCTCCCTCACCCTGCCTCCCTCTCCCTCTCCCACCTGCATGGATCCAACCACCTTTGAACCCTGCACCCCCCCACCCTCTGCCCCACGACCCCTACCCCTTACCCCCCTGCGCCTCCCCTTTGCTGTCATGGACTCGTTCAGTGGAAAGGCCTCCAGTGAAAGGGCTCCAGTGTATGCCCAAACCCTCACCGGACACCCTCCTCGCAGCACGGCGACTCTAAGCGTGGCTATCCTCCGCTGCAGAATCAGATAGACACGCGGCTGAAATCCGGCAAAAAACGTACATCTGCTGACTGGTCTCGGTGTTTCTGTTCTTGCCTGGTTGTTCAACAACCAGTAGTTCCTGACCTGACTGCTCATTTCGCAAATTGCTTACTCCTTACCTGATAGCCTGCTGTAGCGTGATGATTGTGAGTCTTGCCACAGCGAGCCACAGCTGCTTCTCCTGACGGATTACTGTTCCTGTTCTTGGGACTCTTCGGGGTAGTTGAAGAGCACATTCCGAATCAGCCGGACGACAGACCATCTAGGTCTCGCAGCAGCCGGACAACAGACCATCTAGGTCTCGCATGCAACTTTATGAGGGTTGTAATGCCAATTTGTATGTGACGAGCACAAGAAACAGGAGAGGCTGAGGTGCGTGCAGCGGTCTAGAGCGGCCTGGAGCGTGGCCCTGCGGAGAGCAGGTGTATGCCTCAGGAGCTGAGAGGAGTACACCCTAAACCCTAAACCCTAAACCCTAAACCCTAAACCCTAATCCAGTAACCTGGGGGAACTAAAGGTTAACCTTTGGGATTATAAAGGGATTACATTACCCCAGAAAGGGTTAAAGGTTACCTACTCTACTACTAGGGAGTACACCACTCTTGCGCGCAGCTACAGAAGTCCATGAAACGACTCATGACACGACTCAGGAAACCAAGCTGGTTCTGTGCAGGCTCTTTTTCGCGAGGATCCTTTCTGCTCACATCAAAGGAGGTTCGCCGACAGACACGAGGGGCCCTCCCATGGACTGGATGTTGGTGGATTAACCAGGCCATGAGCAGTGAGCAGACCCCAACATCAAGAACCTTGCGAGATTCTGAGTCGGATAAAAGAACTCAGAACCGATCTTTGCATTCTGCCGACAGAAACCCACGAGAAGAGGCGCCTACTGTACAGCATCCGCAGCCGAAGTACTCAGCTTCAGCGTGCGGAAGCCCTGGTCTGGGCCTTTTTGGGGAGGCGCCTCTCTCACGTCACTTTTACACTGTTGCGCGCAGCTGCCGAAGTCAATACCATAATAATAGTTCTGACATAATACCTGGTTCAGTGCAGTGGCCCAGGTCTGGCTGGCAGGCCTTTTTTGCTGCGCAGGAACCTGCTCGCATCAAAGGAGACTCGCCGACATGACAGGAGAGGCCCTGCCAGGACTGGAAATGGGTGGATTAACCCAGGCCCTGGGCTTCGGGAAAAGCATGTCAAAAAGGCGACGGCGGATTGCGCAACTTCGTTGCTCCTAGACATAGAAGCAGTGAGAAGCCGGGGAGGGGAAACACGTGCCTTTTTGCAGGGTGATCTCCACCCTCGCCGACTTGGAATGTTACCCTGACGAGCGATTCATACGTTTAGTGATCTTAAAAAATGTTAGCCTGACGAGTGATTCATGAGCTGGCGGCAGCAAGGAAGGTCGTCATCAGGACTGTGGCCGTGTGCCGTCGGTAGCCCGTGTTGCTAAGGTCGGCCATGGTCTTCTCGGCTGTCGTCCCGGCCTGTGTCGTCGCTGTCGTCCCGGCCTGCGTCGTCTCGGCAAGCGTCCAGCCCTGCGTCGTCTGGGCCGTCGTTCCGGCCTGCGTCGTCTCGGCTGTCGTCTCGGCCAGCGTCGTCTGGGCAGTCGTCCCAGTCTGCGTCGTCTCGGCTGTCGTCCCGCCCTGCGTCGTCCCGGCCGTCGTCCCGCCCTGCGTCGTCCCGGCCGTCGTCCCGCCCTGTGTCGTGTCGGCTGTCGTCCCGGCCTGCGTCGTCTGGGCGGTCGTCCCGGCCTGCGTCGTCCCGGCCGTCGTCCCGGCCTGCGTCGTGGTATCACCCCAAACTGCCGAACAAGCAGCTTGGCTTCCTCCAGAGCAGGCCACCTCCGTGTCATAGGTGTAGGCACTTGTGGAGGGACCGTTGTGGCAAAGCAGGTCCGCATTGGTCTGGAAGCCAGTGGCAGCACTGGAGAAGCCAAGGTCGGCAACGGTGAAGCCCCACGTGCTTGACATCACGTCCAGGAGGTTCTGCCCATAGTAGCTCTTCCCGGTGTTCTCGCGAATGCCTTCGGCGTTCGCTGCGGGAAAGCCGTAGAAGGTGCTGCGCTTGGCTTCATTCTTCAGCATCCACCAGCGCATGCTGCGGTCCACGTTCGCGTGATGGAACATGAAGAGGGGGTCATTCGGCGACGTGACCGGGTCCTCGAAGTCCCCGCTGTTGCCGCCCGAGCTGCCGCCCACCTGAAGGCTAGCGTTAGCAGGGTTCAGGAGGGTTCCTGCGCTTCTTTGGGTGTACACGCCAAGCCGTTACTGGTGGGAACTACGGGAACTACACCCTCGAACGTCCCCTACACACTGCGCGCCTGCCCATGTGGTCCTCCGTGAAAGCTCCCGCTGACAGTCGCATCGCCCTCGATGCACTTGTACCAGTCATTCCAAAACCCATCCAAGTTCGCGCAGATCCAGAAGTCGTTGGCGGGGTACGAATAAGTGCTCGAGCCGTAGCGTGTCATCATGCTGTTCGCGTTGTTGTTGGTGGGCCCCCGCAGCATTCCGGTGGGCGGAGAGCTGCCGGTAGGGTTGTAGTCTGACAAGGAAAAGCCAGCCTTGATCCACCAGTTCGCGAAGGCACCGTCGACAACTTGAGAGTCGGACCCCGTGCCAGGAGCACTTCCGAAGTAGGTCTCCGAGAAGATGGACGGAGAGGTCACCGTGGAGTCCCAGTATGGCAAAGCACCAATCGTGCTGTCCACACTAAGCAACGCATTCTCGAATTCCAAGACGAAGGCGCTGTGCCAAGTCATGAACTGAGGGCCGAAGTGAGCCTGGTCGCCACGCACATCAGAATACGCCGCGGCGTGCTTGGCCGGGAAGTAGTCATAGGTACGGAACGCCTGGCCATATGTTGCGACACCGGCCGCCTGCGCCGTGTTCTTCATGACCCACATGGCGTCTGTCACCTTCTTCCACTCTGCTGCGCTCAGCGTCCGCAACTCCTTGCGCACTCGTTGTGTGCTTTGGTCGACCGTTGGTGCGCTGCACGTAGGGCATTGCACCACCGTCGACGCATCGGCAGGAACGGTGATACGGAACAGGAGCTTGTTGTCCCGCTCCAAGTCGGAAGACCAGATCATCTTCGACCTCGTCTCTGACAAGAAGGCCATCGGATCCAAGCACTCATCTGCCGCTACTGTAACAGCAACCCCCCCGGCCGGGTCGGTGCTGTCGTAATTCACGGAGCATCCGCCATTGTTGGTCAGCGTTTGCTGAGTTGCCGGGCTTGTGGCCGTGCCGCAGCAACTCCTGGCCGCGTCCCAGGTCGGGGTCCTCCCCCAACCCGTCTGCTGGGCGGTGTACTCGGTCGCTGACACCCAGCCACCGCTGGCCTGGTAGCCACCAGCCATCCATCCTGCAGGCTCTGCCACCGAAGTGACCGCACATGGTGCCAGGTTGCTGCTGCTGCAGCCTGCCGCAATGGACGCGTCGGTAGGCCCGTGCGTCAGCACGAAGACATCCCAGGCAGCGCCGGTCACGGTGCCATCCGAGAACTCCGCCATGAGCGCACCGTCACCGAGGCCTGGGTTCGAGGTCTCGACATACTCGTACCCGGAGCTGCTCGCGTAGTCCATACACATGATCGCGTATTCCTTGTCGGAAACGCCGTCCCATTCGAAGGAGACGGAGACCGCGTTGTGCGGCGTGAACGTCATCGGGTCCTTCTTCACGAGAACTCCATTGAACCAAAACTCAAAGTAGTTGTCGCAGTAAATGTAGCCGGTGATGGTCTGCGGGCCGTTCACGTTCGTCCTGCACTCCACGTCGGCATTGATGGTGATGTGTGGCTCCGTCAACGCAACCCCTCCGCCTCCGCCTGCTCCACCTGTTCCGCCGCCTCCGCCTGCTCCACCTTCTCCGCCTGCTCCGCCTGCTCCGCCTGCTCCGCCTGCTCCGCCTGCTCCGCCTGCTCCACCTTCTCCGCCTGCTCCGCCTGCTCCGCCTGCTCCGCCTTCTCCGCCTGCTCCGCCTGCTCCGCCTGCTCCGCCTGCTCCGCCTGCTCCGCCTGCTCCGCCTGCTCCGCCTGCTCCGCCGCCTCCGGCACCTTGTCCAGCTGCACCGGGCAGAAGGGCCGCGGCCACCAACAAGGACAGCACTGAGCGCCCAAGTTGGGTCATTGCAAGAAGGGAGACGAGAGCTAACACTGAGCTGACACTGCTATCACTCGGGGCTGGAAAGACAGGGCCGCGAATTGCGGATCACAGGTTGGCTTCAAAGAGAACCTCTTCTTCGCATCTCTGGACAACTCACACGCACACTCAGCACTCAGCACGTTGGCTTGCAAACTGCCCACAGAAATCCGCGGCAAGCCCCAGAACCACGCCTCGGGTTTCTCGCGGCGGCGGGGCTCCCAAGAGTTCCTCTCGAGTTCATCTGCACATTCAGAACCCTACCTCCAAGTTCCGGCAAACAGGCATTATCATCCGCCGACCGGGAGGGGTGAGAGAAAAACCGGTTACCTCTGGCACTGGCCCCCTTCATCCCCCCCTTCCCTTCCCATCAAGCCAGCATCAGCCCCCTTCTACCCAACCCCCAGCCCCCCTGCCCCCCTACCCTGTCCTGTGATTCGTCTTCCCCTCCCTCACCCTGCCTCGGACCCAACCACCTTTGAACCCTGCACCCCCCCACCCTCTGCCCCACGACCCCTACCCCTTACCCCCCTACCCCCTCCTCTTTACTGTCATGGACTCGTTCAGTGGATAGGGCTCCAGTGTACGCCCAAACCCTCACCGGACACACCGCCCACACCACCCACCTACCCCTCCCACTGTCTCGCAGCACTCCGCTGCAGAATCAAATAGGCACGCGGCTGAAATCCGGCAAAAAACGTACATCTGCTGACTGGTCTCCAAACTCTCGGGATGGACTGTGGTGTTTGTGTTCACTTGCCGCATAAGCGCTGCTGTTCAACAACCAGTATAGCCAGTACTTCCTGACCGTTTGTACACAGTGACATACAGCATCTAGAAGAAAAAGACCTTATATAACACTGGCATACACCCACGGGCCTTATGGTAAATCAAGAATACCCCAGCTGCCTGGAGCAACTCCGCAGCCTGCCAGCCGTTTTCCAGGTCAACCTCCGCAGGTCTTGGGGTCTCGAAATGTTTTGCTTCTCTTTCTTGGCAATCCTCAGTTGCTGCTGCTTGTTTAAGGTCGAGAATTATGTCATGCGCTCTGCGGCGCTTCCGTCGGGTTTCAAGCAGACCAGGTTGCTAAACCCTGAACCCTAAACCCCAAACCCCTAAACCCTAAACCCCTAAAACCCTACTGTGGTCATTCAAGTCTGTGTCTTTGCCAAGCGCAGAAGCGCCCCAGGAGACACGAGCCGTTCCCCCCACACGCCGTGATGCTCTCCTAGCACTCAGCTTTAGGGGATAGGCTTAAGGGGACCCTTGGGGATAGAGACCCTCTGAATAAGGTCCCTGTTTAAGAGGGCCAGAAGAGGGGTACGAAGGGCTCCCTTTTAAGGGCCCCCTTATCCTACCTAGGAAGCTTAGTAAGTGCAAGTAGGGATGCTTTTGTAACATAAGAGTATGATACTATAATGATCCAACAATAGTAAGGAACCCTAAACCCTAAACCTGTTATTTGCATTTATTCTACAATCCTAAACCCAAAACCCCAATTTAAATCCAAGACCCTAAACCCTAAACCGTTGGATTCGCGAATGGTTGAAGGGCAGGCTCCTGCCGAGCAACCACTTGAAGCTTGAAGCTATCACGCATTCGAGCTACCTCACGGGGAGAAAGAGAGATGCCCCCAGTTGCCCCGCTTCGGAATCCCGCAGCCTGGGGACCCGCCTGCACGCACACAGAAGCAGCTAATAGCACCAACAAGTGAAATGACAATAACAAGAATGCTAGAAAAAACAGCAATACTATATAAGGCCCCACACAACTTGCTGCAGGCAAAAGCATCCTCCCCGAAGCAGCCGTCTTTGTCGCAACGGCTTCTCATGTCGCAACTTGCTCGTCTTGCCACAGCGAGCCACAGCGAGCCACCCTAAACCCTAAACCCTAAACCCTAAACCCTAAACCCTAAACCCTAAACCCTAGCCCTTCTCCTGACTACGGCTCCTGCTCTTTCTGGGTCTCGCATGCAGCTTTAGGCTTGCAATGATAGCTGAGAGGAGCACACCACTGCTGCGAGCAGCTGCCGAAGTCCATGCCATAGTAATGGTACCAAAATAGCTACGAGAATACCATAAAAATCATTGCTAATGCCATAAGAATAGGTACTCTAAAGCTGAAACGACTCAACGAAACCAAGCTGGTTCTGCGCAGGCTCTTTTTCGAGAGGATCCTCTCTGCTCACGTCAAAGGAGATTCGCCGACATGTGGACACGAGGGGCCCTCCCATGGACTGGATGTTGGTGGATTAACCAGGCCATGAGCAGACCTCAACATCGAGAACTCGCTTTTGACCCCCTTGGGCCAAGGAGTTCGAGTTGGAACCATGGCGCCCGCGCGCAGACTTGCCCAGAGCTTCTCAGGCAGCTCCAAGCTCGTGCTTGCGAAATTCTGAGTCGGTTAAAAGAACTCAGAACCGATCGTTGCATTCTGCCGACAGAACCCACGAGAAGAGGCGCCTACTGTACAGCATCCGCAGCCGAAGTACTCAGCTTCAGCGTGCGGAAGCCCTGGTCAGGGCCTTTGTGGGGAGGCGCCTCTCTCATGTCACTTTGACTTTATACAAACAGAAGTGAGAGCAGAGCAGTAGGCCCAGGTTTAGGGAAACTCATGTCCAAAAAGGTACGGCAGGTGACGCAACTTCGTTGCTCGCCTAGACATAGGCGTGCAAAGCCGGGGAGGGGAAACAGGATGAAACACGCGCCTTTTTGCAGCGTGATCTCCACCCTCGCCGACTTGCCAAATTCTTCTTGATGAGTCATTGATTCACACGTTGGGTGATTCAAGAATTGAGTGATTCATGAGCTGGCGGCCGCAAGGAGGCTTGACATCAAGACCGTGGCTGTGTGCCGTCGGTAGCCCGTGTTGGCAACGTCGGTCATGGTCGTCCCGGCCTGCGTCGTCTGGGCTGTCGTCTCGGCCTGCGTCGTCTCGGCCGTCGTCCCGCCCTGCGTCGTCTCGGCCGTCGTCCCGGCCTGCGTCGTGGTATCTCCCCAAACTGCCGAACAAGCAGCTTGGCTTCCTCCAGAGCAGGCCACCTCCGTGTCATAGGTGTAGGCACTTGTGGAGGGACCGTTGTGGCAAAGCAGGTCCGCATTGGTCTGGAAGCCAGTGGAAGCACTGGAGAAGCCAAGGTCGGCAACGGTGAAGCCCCACGTGCTTGACATCACGTCAAGGAGGTTCTGCCCATAGTAGCTCTTCCCGGTGTTCTCGCGAATGCCTTCGGCGTTCGCTGCGGGAAAGCCGTAGAAGGTGCTGCGCTTGGCTTCATTCTTCAGCATCCACCAGCGCATGCTGCGGTCCACATTTGCATGATGGAACATGAAGAGGGGGTCATTCGGCGACGTGACCGGGTCCTCGAAGTCCCCGCTGTTGCCGCCCGAGCTGCCGCCCACCTGGAGCGTTCAGGAGGGTTCAGGAGGGTGGCTGCGCTTGTTGCCAAGCCGTTACGTTACTCGTGGGAACTACGGGAACTACACCCTCGAACGTCCCCTACCTACTGCGCGCCTGCCCATGTGGTCCTCCGTGAAAGCTCCCGCTGACAGTCGCATCGCCCTCGATGCACTTGTACCAGTCATTCCAAAACCCATCCAAGTTCGCGCAGATCCAGAAGTCGTTGGCGGGGTACGAATAAGTGCTCGAGCCGTAGCGTGTCATCATGCTGTTCGCGTTGTTGTTGGTGGGCCCCCGCAGCATTCCGGTGGGCGAGCCAGTGTATGGAGAGCTGCCGGTAGGGTTGTAGTCTGACAAGGAAAAGCCAGCCTTGATCCACCAGTTCGCGAAGGCACCGTCGACAACTTGAGAGTCGGACCCCGTGCCAGGAGCACTTCCGAAGTAGGTCTCCGAGAAGATGGACGGAGAGGTCACTGTGGAGTCCCAGTATGGCAACCCACCAATCGTGCTGTCCACACTAAGCAGCGCATTCTCGAATTCCAAGACGAAGGCGCTGTGCCAAGTCATGAACTGAGGGCCGAAGTGAGCCTGGTCGCCCCGCACATCAGAATACGCCGCGGCGTGCTTGGCCGGGAAGTAGTCGTAGGTTCGGAACGCCTGGCCATATGTTGCGACGCCGGCCGCCTGCGTCGTGTTCTTCATGACCCACATGGCGTCTGTCACCTTCTTCCACTCTGCTGCGCTCAGCGTCCGCAACTCCTTGCGCACTCGTTGTGTGCTTTGGTCGACCGTTGGTGCACTGCACGCAGGGCATTGCACCACCGTCGACGCGTTGGCAGGAACGGTGATGCGGAACAGGAGCTTGTTGTCCCGCTCCAAGTCGGAAGACCAGATCATCTTCGACCTCGTCTCTGACAAGAAGGCCATCGGATCCAAGCACTCATCTTCCGCTACTGTAACAGCAACCCCCCCGACCGGGTCGTAGTTGCCGTAATTGACGGAGCATCCGCCATTGTTGGTCAGCGTTTGCTGAGTTGTCGGGCTTGTGGCCGTGCCGCAGCAACTCCTGGCCGCATCCCAAGTCGGGGTCCTCCCCCAACCCGTCTGCTGGGCGGTGTATTCGGTCGCTGACACCCAGCCACCGCTGGCCTGGTAGCCACCAGCCATCCATCCTGCAGGCTCTGCCACCGAAGTGACCGCACATGGTGCCAGGTTGCTGCTGCTGCAGCCTGCCGCAATGGACGCGTCGGTAGGCCCGTGCGTCAGCACGAAGACATCCCAGGCAGCGCCGGTCACGGTGCCATCCGAGAACTCCGCCATGAGCGCACCGTCACCGAGGCCTGGGTTCGAGGTCTCGACATACTCGTACCCGGAGCTGCTCGCGTAGTCCATACACATGATCGCGTATTCCTTGTCGGAAACGCCGTCCCATTCGAAGGAGACGGAGACCGCGTTGTGCGGCGTGAACGTCATCGGGTCCTTCTTCACGAGAACTCCATTGAACCAAAACTCAAAGTAGTTGTCGCAGTAAATGTAGCCGGTGATGGTCTGCGGGCCGTTCACGTTCGTCCTGCACTCCACGTCGGCATTGATGGTGATGTGTGGCTCTGTCAACGCAACCCCTCCGCCTCCGCCACCTCCGCCACCCCCGCCGCCTCCGCCGCCTCCGCCTCCTCCGCCTCCTCCGCCGCCTCCGCCACCTTGTCCCACTACACCGGGCAGAAGGGCCGCGGCCACCAACAAAGACAGCACCGAGCGCCCAAGTTGGATCATTGCAAGAATAGAGACGAGAGCTGACACTGAGAGGACACTGCTATCACTCGAAACTGGGAAGACAAGGCCGCGAATTGCGGATCACAGCTTTTAGAGAGGACCTCTGAGGTCTTCACATCTCTGGACAACTCTCGCACACTCAGCACGTTGGCTTGCAAACTGCCCACAGAAATCCGCGGCAAGCCCCAGAACCACGCCTCGGTTTCTCGCGGCGGCGGGGCTCCCCAGTTCCTCTCGAGTTCATCTGCACATTCAGAACCCTACCTCCAAGTTCCGGCAAACAGGCATTATTATCCGCCGACCGGGAGGGGTGAGAGAAAAACCGGTTACGTCTGGCACTGGCCCCCTTCATCCCCCTACCTCTTCCCTTCCCACCAAGCCAGCATCCGCCCCCTTCTACCCAACCCCCAGCCCCCCTGCCCGCCTACCCTGTCCTGTGATTCGTCTTCCCCTCCCTCACCCTGCCTCCCTCTCCCTCTCCCACCTGCATGGATCCAACCACCTTTGAACCCTGCACCCCCCCACCCTCTGCCCCACGACCCCTACCCCTTACCCCCTACCCTCCCCTTTGCTGTCATGGACTCGTTCAGTGGAAAGGGCTCCAGTGAAAGGGCTCCAGTGTACGCCCAAACCCTCACCGGACACCCTCCTCGCAGCACGGCGACTCTAAGCGTGGCTATCCTCCGCTGCAGAATCAGATAGACACGCGGCTGAAATCCGGCAAAAAACGTACATCAGCTGACTGGTCTCGGTGTTTCTGTTCACTTGCCTGGTTGTTCAACAACCAGTAGTTCCTGACCTGACTGCTCATTTCGCAAATTGCTTACTCCTTACCTGATAGCCTGCTGTAGCGTGATGATTGTGAGTCTTGCCACAGCGAGCCACAGCTGCTTCTCCTGACGGATTACTGTTCCTGTTCTTGGGACTCTTCGGGGTAGTTGAAGAGCACATTCCGAATCAGCCGGACGACAGACCATCTAGGTCTCGCAGCAGCCGGACAACAGACCATCTAGGTCTCGCATGCAACTTTATGAGGGTTGCAATGCCAATTTGTATGTGACGAGCACAAGAAACAGGAGAGGCTGAGGTGCCTGCAGCGGTCTGGAGCGGCCTGGAGCGTGGCCCTGCGGAGAGCAGGTGTAGGCCTCAGGAGCTGAGAGGAGTACACCCTAAACCCTAAACCCTAAACCCTAAACCCTAATCCAGTAACCTGGGGGAACTAAAGGTTAACCTTTTTGGGATTATAAGGGGATTAAATGACCCCAGAAAAGGTTACAGGTTACCTACTCTACTACTAGGGAGTACACCACTCTTGCGCGCAGCTGCCGAAGTCAGGTGAAACGACTCATGAAACGACTCAACGAAACCAAGCTGGTTCTGCGCAGGCTGTTTTTCGAGAGGATCCTGTCTGCTCACGTCAAAGGAGGTTCGCCGACATGTGGACACGAGGGCCCTCCCATGGACTGGATGTTGGTGGATTAACCAGGCCATGAGCAGTGAGCAGACCCCAACATCAAGAACCTTGCGAGATTCTGAGTCGGATAAAAGAACTCAGAACCGCTCTTTGCATTCTGCCGACAGAAACCCACGAGAAGAGGCGCCTACTGTACAGTATCCGCAGCCGAAGTACTCAGCTTCAGCGTGCGGAAGCCCTGGTCTGGGCCTTTTTGGGGAGGCGCCTCTCTCACGTCACTTTTACACTGTTGCGCGCAGCTGCCGAAGTCAATACCATAACAATAGTTCTGACATAATACCTGGTTCAGTGCAGTGGCCCAGGTCTGGCTGGCAGGCCTTTTTTGCTGCGCAGGAACCTGCTCGCATCAAAGGAGACTCGCCGACATGACAGGAGAGGCCCTGCCAGGACTGGAAATGGGTGGATTAACCCAGGCCCTGGGCTTCGGGAAAAGCATGTCAAAAAGGCGACGGCGGATTGCGCAACTTCGTTGCTCCTAGACATAGAAGCAGTGAGAAGCCGGGGAGGGGAAACACGTGCCTTTTTGCAGCGTGATCTCCACCCTCGCCGACTTGGAATGTTACCCTGACGAGCGATTCATACCTTTAGTGATCTTAAAAAACATTAGCCTGACGAGTGATTCATGAGCTGGCGGCAGCAAGGAAGGTCGTCATCAGGACTGTGGCCGTGTGCCGTCGGTAGCCCGTGTTGCTAAGGTCGGCCATGGTCTTCTCGGCTGTCGTCCCGGCCTGTGTCGTCGCTGTCGTCCCGGCCTGCGTCGTCTCGGCAAGCGTCCAGCCCTGCGTCGTCTGGGCCGTCGTTCCGGCCTGCGTCGTCTCGGCTGTCGTCTCGGCCTGCGTCGTCTGGGCAGTCGTCCCAGTCTGCGTCGTCTCGGCTGTCGTCCCGCCCTGCGTCGTCCCGGCCGTCGTCCCGCCCTGCGTCGTCCCGGCCGTCGTCCCGGCCTGTGTCGTGTCGGCTGTCGTCCCGGCCTGCGTCGTCTGGGCGGTCGTCCCGGCCTGCGTCGTCCCGGCCGTCGTCCCGGCCTGTGTCGTGTCGGCTGTCGTCCCGGCCTGCGTCGTCTGGGCGGTCGTCCCTGGCTGCGTCGTCCCGGCCGTCGTCCCGGCCTGCGTCGTGGTATCACCCCAAACTGCCGAACAAGCAGCTTGGCTTCCTCCAGAGCAGGCCACCTCCGTGTCATAGGTGTAGGCACTTGTGGAGGGACCGTTGTGGCAAAGCAGGTCCGCATTGGTCTGGAAGCCAGTGGAAGCACTGGAGAAGCCAAGGTCGGCAACGGTGAAGCCCCACGTGCTTGACATCACGTCCAGGAGGTTCTGCCCATAGTAGCTCTTCCCGGTGTTCTCGCGAATGCCTTCGGCGTTCGCTGCAGGAAAGCCGTAGAAGGTGCTGCGCTTGGCTTCATTCTTCAGCATCCACCAGCGCATGCTGCGGTCCACGTTCGCGTGATGGAACATGAAGAGGGGGTCATTCGGCGACGTGACTGGGTCCTCGAAGTCGCCGCTGTTGCCGCCCGAGCTGCCGCCCACCTGAACGCTAGCGTTAGGAGGGTTCAGGAGGGTTGCTGCGCTTGTTGCCAAGCCGTTACGTTACTCGTGGGAACTACGGGAACTACACCCTCGAACGTCCCCTACCTACTGCGCGCCTGCCCATGTGGTCCTCCGTGAAAGCTCCCGCTGACAGTCGCATCGCCCTCGATGCACTTGTACCAGTCATTCCAAAACCCATCCAAGTTCGCGCAGATCCAGAAGTCGTTGGCGGGGTACGAATAAGTGCTCGAGCCGTAGCGTGTCATCATGCTGTTCGCGTTGTTGTTGGTGGGCCCCCGCAGCATTCCGGTGGGCGAGCCAGTGTATGGCGAGCTGCCGGTAGGGTTGTAATCTGACAAGGCAAAGCCAGCCTTGATCCACCAGTTCGCGAAGGCACCGTCGACAACTTGAGAGCCGGACCCTGTGCCAGGAGCACTTCCGAAGTAGGTCTCCGAGAAGATGGACGGAGAGGTCACCGTGGAGTCCCAGCATGGCAAAGCACCAATCGTGCTGTCCACGCTAAGCAGCGCATTCTCGAATTCCAAGACGAAGGCGCTGTGCCAAGTCATGAACTGAGGGCCGAAGTGAGCCTGGTCGCCACGCGCATCAGAATACGCCGCGGCGTGCTTGGCCGGGAAGTAATCGTAGGTACGGAACGCCTGGCCATATTGTGCGACACCGGCCGCCTGCGCCGTGTTCTTCATGACCCACATGGCGTCTGTCACCTTCTTCCACTCTGCTGCGCTCAGCGTCCGCAACTCCTTGCGCACTCGTTGTGTGCTTTGGTCGACCGTTGGTGCGCTGCACGTAGGGCATTGCACCACCGTCGACGCATCGGCAGGAACGGTGATGCGGAACAGGAGCTTGTTGTCCCGCTCCAAGTCGGAAGACCAGATCATCTTCGACCTCGTCTCTGAAAGGAAGGCCATCGGATCCAAGCACTCATCTGCCGCTACTGTAGCAGCAACCCCCCCGACCGGGTCGGTGCTGTCGTAATTCACGGAGCATCCGCCATTGTTGGTCAGCGTTTGCTGAGTTGCCGGGCTTGTGGCCGTGCCGCAGCAACTCCTGGCCGCGTCCCAAGTCGGGGTCCTCCCCCAACCCGTCTGCTGGGCGGTGTATTCGGTCGCTGACACCCAGCCACCGCTGGCCTGGTAGCCACCAGCCATCCATCCTGCAGGCTCTGCCACCGAAGTGACCGCACATGGTGCCAGGTTGCTGCTGCTGCAGCCTGCCGCAATGGACGCGTCGGTAGGCCCGTGCGTCAGCACGAAGACATCCCAGGCAGCGCCGGTCACGGTGCCATCCGAGAACTCCGCCATGAGCGCACCGTCACCGAGGCCTGGGTTCGAGGTCTCGACATACTCGTACCCGGAGCTGCTCGCGTAGTCCATACACATGATCGCGTATTCCTTGTCGGAAACGCCGTCCCATTCGAAGGAGACGGAGACCGCGTTGTGCGGCGTGAACGTCATCGGGTCCTTCTTCACGAGAACTCCATTGAACCAAAACTCAAAGTAGTTGTCGCAGTAAATGTAGCCGGTGATGGTCTGCGGGCCGTTCACGTTCGTCCTGCACTCCACGTCGGCATTGATGGTGATGTGTGGCTCCGTCAACGCAACCCCTCCGCCTCCGCCTGCTCCACCTGTTCCGCCGCCTCCGCCTGCTCCACCTTCTCCGCCTGCTCCGCCTGCTCCGCCTGCTCCGCCTGCTCCGCCTGCTCCGCCTGCTCCACCTTCTCCGCCTGCTCCGCCTGCTCCGCCTGCTCCGCCTTCTCCGCCTGCTCCGCCTGCTCCGCCTGCTCCGCCTGCTCCGCCTGCTCCGCCTGCTCCGCCTGCTCCGCCTGCTCCGCCGCCTCCGGCACCTTGTCCAGCTGCACCGGGCAGAAGGGCCGCGGCCACCAACAAGGACAGCACTGAGCGCCCAAGTTGGGTCATTGCAAGAAGGGAGACGAGAGCTAACACTGAGCTGACACTGCTATCACTCGGGGCTGGAAAGACAGGGCCGCGAATTGCGGATCACAGGTTGGCTTCAAAGAGAACCTCTTCTTCACATCTCTGGACAACTCACACTCAGCACGTTGGCTTGCTGCCCACAAAAATCCGCAGCAAGCCCCAGAACCACGCCTCGGGTTTCTCGCGGCGGGGCGGCCCAAGAGTTCCTGTGCGCGGGATGAAACTCAAAAGTACACAAACGTGAACAAGCATCATCCTGTAAATGGCACAGGCAGCACATCGATGCGTACACATGCGCATTTCACGGCAGAGCATGAAGAAATGAACACATTTTCCGGGCTGCACACATGTTCCGCGCAAAAGGAACGGAGGTTGCAGCCCATTCAGGGAGCACGTGGCTGCGCCTATCTCGCAAACGATGACAAACACAGTCCTGGCATTAACTCCAGCGCACACTTCTTCGAAGTGTCCGTAAACCAAAATTGTTTTATATTGTTTTGGGCTGTTCTCCGCCTTGCAAACATGAATGAAATCCCCAAAACCGCATGGATTCAGCTTCACCCTGCTTTTGGTGACTAGCTTCAACGCCTAGCTACCCAAAAGAAGAGGCCACCATACCCTCAAAGTACGAAACTGTAGTCCATAATTCTAGTCTACAAGAGGCTACCATACAGGAAACTGTAGCCTAAACCCTAAACCCTAAACCCTAAACCCGAAACCTTAAACCCTAAACCCTAAACCCTAAACCCATAGTTCTAGTCTACTGGCTTTCTAGGCAGACGTCATCCCCTGCCCCTCCCGACCCTCCGGCAAAGACGCCACTCACTTTGGCATGTCCCTTCTTGGTAAACTCGACGATGTATTCGGGATAGACCTGGGGGTTTCCGGGTTTAGGGTTTAGGGTTTAGGGGTCCCAGATTCTCGCGCCAACCCCCGCCTGATCTGCCTCGAAAAGAATGTACTCTCTCGGTCCCTTCTGATCCGGATTGGCCAGCACGCAGGTGAGCCCTAGGGCCTTGGCCTGTACATGAGCTTTCGTTGCATGCATCTCTTCGGTGTAGTGGATACGCCCACAGGTGGCTCGGCAAAGCAGAACGTAGGAAATCCCATCAGACTCTTTGCAGTAGGACAAGCTTTTGCTGAGGTCCTCTGCAAGGTACACGCCGTCGCCAAAGCGCCGGCCATGGGAAAACGTGGACTTTACCAAGAACCCATCCGTGGCAATGGCCTTCGCTGCTGCAGCGGAGGTCCCGTGCCACAGCAACATCTCGTTGAGGCCTGGGTTTAGGGTTTAGGGTTTAGGGTTTAGGGTTTAGGGTTTAGGGTTTAGGGTTTAGGGTTTAGGGTTTAGGGTTTAGGGTTTAGGGTTTAGGGTTTAGGGTTTAGGGTTTAGGGTTTAGGGTTTAGGGTTTAGGGTTTAGGGTTTAGGGTTTAGGGTTTAGGGTTTAGGGTTTAGGGTTTAGGGTTGGGTTTGGGTTTAGGGTTTAGAGTTTGGGGTTTACGGTTTAGGGTTTAGGGTTTAGGGTTTAGTGTTGAGGCCTGGGGCCATGGTCTCCACGCTGATGGCCTCATCCCCATGGAAGTCTCTGGGTTCCCGTCCAGCTCGTTGGGTGGGATACAGCTGTTTCCCATAGCCTTGGGGACGAAATGAACCCCAAAATTGGGATCATATACCCTATACTACCATTGTTCCTGTCAGGGTATATGAACCATAAACCCGGCATATACTACTATAATTCCAGGGTATATGAACCCTAAACCCTTTTAGGCTTCATTTAGGGATCATATACCCTATACGACTATGATTCCTCTTCAGGGTATATGAGGCCCTAAGCCCTTGGGCCCTAGAAGCCCAAAAAGCTTGCTGAGCCGCAGCCATTGTTTTGGGCCTGGGGCCCATGCTTCTACAGAAGACTTTTTTTTTTTTTTTCGAAGCGGGAGTGTGTTGCTTTGGGGCTTGGGATGTGTGTGCGAGTGTGTGTGTGTGTGTGTGTGTATGAGACAGCGCCCTCACTAAGGGCATTGTTTGTGACTTGGATGCGAGTGTGCCTGTCTGTCATCTGCTTGGACTAAGGACTGAAAGATGAGGGGCGGGGGGGGACTGGGATAAGTTTTTGCTGGGTGCGGCGCGTGTGTGTGTGCGGCTGCTTGTGTCTGTACACGCGCGCGAATGTGCCCTGACCAAGGTACCAAGGACTGTATTTGGTGACTTGGATGCGCGTGTGTGCCTGTGTGTGAGTGCGCCTGACTAAGGAGATTTGGGCTGCTGGGTCTGTGTGACTACTTGCGCGTGTGTGCGAGCGCGGGTGTGTGTCGTCTGTTCAAGTCTTTGGAAATGTGAGAACGCCCGGACTAAGGACTTGTGGATGGAGTGGGGGACAACTAGAATAAGTGTGTGCTTGTGTGCGGGTGTGAGTGTGTGTGAGTGTGGGTGTGTTTGTGTGTGTGAGGGAGGGAGAGAGTTTGCCGTGTGCACTCGAACGCGCCCTGACCAAGGTACCAAGGATTTGGTGACTTGGATGTGTGTGTGTGGGTGCCTGGGTGTGAGTACGACTAAGGAGTTTTGGGGTGAGGGGGTGAACTCTTTGTCGGTGTGCGGGTGTGTGTGTGTGTGTGTGCGCAACTCTGCCCTGACTAAGGTCTTTGTGCCTTGGGTGTGACAGCGTGAAAGGTTGTGTGTGTGTGTGTGTGTGGGGTCCCTGTGTGGTTTCTGTTGGGTTGCGAGTGAGCGCCCTGACTAAGGAAAAAGCCTCTTGGATGGGAGCGTATGTGTGTGTATATGTGTGTGCGTGTGAGAGAAAAAGAGGGACGCAGGAGCTTACATTGCAGCAGGCTATACATGAATCGAACTCCGAAAACCTGCCACTTTGTTACGGCCGCTTGGGTCTTCCGCTACCTCGTAAGGCAGCAAGTCAACATAAAGCCGCTCATCACCATGACACCCCCCCCTCTCTCTCTCACAGGATGTGAGGCCTGGAATGCAGAGCCTCCAGAAAGGCCTTGATCTCTGAGACTCTCCAGAAGACATTGCGCGTGAAGTTTTGTTTTGTTTTTTTTTTTTTGGTTTTGGGTTTTGGGAGAAAAAGCATGTGACTGCTCGTCTGGCGTTCTGCGTGTTGCAAAGGGAGCTCTGCTGCCGCAGGCGCTGCCTCGATCTTTTAAGAAAGGCTGCTCCTGGCTTTGTAGGTGCACTCAGTTGCCATGATTGGTGGGTTGCTGTTGCTAACTCTCTCATGGGCGGCTGAAGCTGTCACAAAGGAGCAGATCAAAGAGTGGCTAAGCAACCACCCTGACGAAAAGGCTGCAATCTGGAAAGAGACTAAGGAGCCGGGGGCCTACCAGGCACGCGTGCGGGAACGTGTGCGTGAGTCCTTGATTGCTGAAGCAGACACGTTGCCGCCTTCTGTTCCAAGTGATAGCTTCTGTGCGGCAGGGGCAGACAGCCCTGCAACCCAAGAGACGACACAGTGCGATGAAAGTATGGAGGATGCACAACCTGTGTATCCTATCTTGCATGCTTTCGAAAGGGCACAAGCAAGAGCGACACAAGTGCCGACAAGCTTAGCAAGCCAGCTGCTGTCCCCCTCTGCAAGTTTGGCAAGCCTGTTGCAGAACCCAGACGATGCTGTGGAGGGGACATTGCCCGCACAAGAGCCTAGGACGGAACGCAGTGGCCAAGAAACCGGGGAGCCAGAGGCTTCTGCTATGCTGCCGCCATGGCGCTCGCAGCCATTGCCTGCCCCGCCAACGCAGCAATGGGAACCACCGAGGCCAATAGCCCAGGCAAGCGTCGCACTGCCCTCGTTGTCTTCCTCCTCGACAATTCAAGTCTTCAACCTGCAAGTCCAGACACTCCCTAATGGTATGCTGCCGGATGCCAACACCATCCTGCAATGGATGGCACAGTACCCGCCCGGTGCGCCTTTGTGGAACCGTGAAGGGCAGGCTGACTTGTTGTATGACTCCACAGGCTCCAAGGTCATCGGCGTGTACTGTAAGGGGCCGAATGGAGGGAGCGTGAACGTCTATCTGTCGGGCAAGGTCGTGATCCAAGGAAACCCCACAATGCGACAACATCTAGCGTCGATGGTCCGAGATTGGACTCAACAAAGAGTGGGTACAAGTAGCCAAGCTGCCCAAAGGGTGAAGCCGTCCCTGGCTGCTTTCAGAGGGCAGCCGTACTAAATCAGCGGCCGCTAGCCAGTATGTCGTGTGAGGGGTTCTCTCTCTTTTCTTTTTTAAACAACGGGGCGCTATCGTGATAGTTGCTTCAAGAGAGCAAAGCTGCCAGCAGCTGCGCTGGGGCAAGAAAACAGGCGGTCTCGCCCCTCATTGCTGCTTGCGCCTCGGTCTCTCGCCTGTGGTGCTGCGCTATGCTCTCGGTAAGGGGCCCACTTTTTTTTTTTTTTGTCCTCTCTTCTTTTTCTTCTGCTTCTTTGTTGCTCTCTCTCTTCTCTCTCTCTCTCTCTCTCTCTTCTCTCTCTTCTCTCTCTTCTCTGTCTCTCTCTCTCTCTCTCTCTTCTCTCTCTCTCTTCTCTCTCTCTCTCCTCTCTCTCTCTCTCTCTCTCTCTTTCTCTCTCTCTCTCTTCTCTCTCTCTCTCTCCCTCTCTCTTCTCTCTCTTCTCTCTCTCTCTCTCTCTCTCTCTTCTCTCTCTTCTCTCTCTCTCTCTCTTCTCTCTCTTCTCTCTCTCTCTCTCTCTCTCTCTCTCTCTCTCTCTCCTCCTCTCTCTCTCTCTCTCTCTCTCTCTCTCTCTCTCTCTCTCTCTCTCTCTCTCTCTCTCTCTCTCTCTCTCTCTCTCTCTCTCTCGTCTTCCTCTCCTTCTTCTTGATTTTGGTTGCGTCGTGAACTTTGGGCTACAAGCGCAGGAGGCGAAACACCTCTTGCAATGAAAGGGCAACTCTTGGATTCCCTACAGACTCTGACTGCGCAGGGCACCTTGCAACGAGATGTGCAGCATTTTGCAGCTGAAATGCTGCGTCAAAACTGGCTGTGCTTATCTCACGAAAGCGGCTGGCTAGTTGCTACTGCGCAGAGAGTGCTTGCCCACCTGAACTCTCTTGGCAGTAACATGAGGGATCTTGCGGAGAACCTACACTCTGCTGTTCAGTTTGGGCATAAGCTGGCCCAGACGCGCGTTGAGCATTACAGACATGCTGCCAGTGCTTGCCCGGAAGTCACGCGTAACCTGTTGCGGGTGGGTCTGGGCTCGCCCAGCTGCACAGGATGCATGGCTGCAAGAGGTGATAGTGTCAAATGGTCCACCTTCACGGACTGCAAAACAGGAATTTTGCAGGCGTTCAGGGGCCTGGACCTTGATATGCTTGCCTTGCCAGGGGCGCGGCTGCCTCAAGACTTCAAGCCTCCTGAAAAATGGGGGCTGCAGTGTGTCTGCCACAGGGGTGCTAACTACGACAGCTGCGCAGTATTCTGGCGTAGCGAACTGCGAGGCTTGACTCCTATCACTGAAGTGGGAGGACCAAGGCGTGTGCACATCCTGGCGCCTCGTAAGCAGGGGCCTCCACTTGTAATCTCTGCTGTATACCTTCCGCCTGATAATGCCACCCATGGGGACGAAGCATGGTGCAGCGAACTGAAATGCCTGTCAGCTGACCTCTGCCTCTTGCAAGAAATGTTTGGTGTAGGAGATGGTCATTTAGATGTGCTGCTTATTGGGGACATGAACATTCAGCCAAGTGCCTTAGGTGCTGGGCCTGATCGTAGGCAAGCAAGAGAAGCTGCGTGGAATGTCTTTACTACAAAACATAAGCTTGCCATCGCAAACCCCGGCCTCCAGGGCAGTCAGGCTGTGGAAGTCGAGCTGCCCCTGCGGGGGAAGACAGTGCTTATCCGACCAGGCGATACCCACCACCACCCGGCGGGAGGCGCGTCAAGGGCTATTGACTTGGTCCTAGCTTCTCAGCGCCTTGTTCTCAATGTCACAATACACAACTCCTTGCAGTGCTGCAGTGAGTCTCAATGTACGCTGCCCCTGTGCCATGAGTACACCAGGGGAGACCACTTCCTTGTGCATGCTGATTTGAGCGAGCTCTTTTTGCTCCCAGAGCGGACTGACAACTCCTGCATGCCAAACTGGCTCCATGATGAAAAACGCTGGAATGATGCGTGGAAGGCCTGTGCAACGACACTGGGCTGCTTTGCAGAAACGCTTGATGCTGTGCTTGGAAACGCCGCAGGCTACAAGTGTTGCCAGTGCCTCCCGCGCCATGCTGCAGTGTGGTTGGGCAATGCGGCTGCATGGGTGCACGCGCTCTTGGGTGCTATTGCGCTGGACGGCTGGGTGGTTCGTCCAAAGAAAGAAATACCAAGGTGTGCTAAAACCAAATTGCCTGCAGACGACAATGTCCTGTCTGCGCATCCGTGGCTTGCCACTTTGGGCAAACAATGCGATAAAGGGGAGGCCCCCTGTGCTCTAGCCCAGAGATGCTTCAGACTCCTAAAGGCGGATGAAATTCGGCCGCCGCAATGGCTACTTAGTGGTGAAGAGACCTTGACAGGTGAGTCTGCGCACAAGGAGTGGTGCAGGGCTTTCGTGAACCAGTCTTCTTGGCCCAACAACTGGGCCCTGGACGTCCATGAGCACATAACACATGAATGCAAGGTGCAGAACCCGCGCTCCTGGTCCAAACGTGGCAAAGGCAGTTTGGACCAGACAGTCACTGCTGTCGAAACTCAACATGTTCTACAGAACTGGGACCGCTCGCGAGCCACCACACCCGACCTCATACCTAGGGCAGCCTACACGGTGATGTCCAAGGCGTGGGGTGATGTGTGCTTCCTGCTGGTGAAGCTGACAGGACCTGGCTGCCTGGCTCTTAAACCTGACCTTTGGCGCCGCTCTCTTGTGGTTCCAAAACACAAGCAAGGCTTCCTGGCCCTGGCCTCAAATTGGCGCTTTCTGGAAGTCAGGTCCCAAATTGCCTTGCTACACGAGTCTGTGTTCATCAACCGCCTACGTCCTCTTCTCACCAACGCTCTTGTTCCTGGACAATCGGGCTATGTGAGGGACGTCTCTGACGCCCACCTTTTGCTCCACGAAGTGGTGACTACGAGGCTGAACATGGGTCTGCCAACGTTGCCTGTCTTCGGGGACCTTGCCAAAGCCTTCCCGAGGACGTGGAGGGACGACTTCCTCACTCAAATATCTCTCCAGTCGAACCTACAGCATGGAGGACGCGCACTCCTGGCTGACATATTGGCGTGGGACTCGCCGACCATCACGCTTGCTGGCTTCTCAAGGCTTATGAAAACCGAAGGGGTGCCTGAGGGTGGGGTCGTCGGACCCGCTGGCTTCAACACCTGGCTCAACTCCCTGACCCTCTTCTTGCTTGAACATGGTCATGGCGTGGGCCTGAGCAGCGAAGTGCCTGGAGCGTGGCGTCATGTACAATGGTCGTGGTGCGGCGTGCCAGACGAAACTTGGGTTACTGACATACGCCAAGGGCTCCTTGGCAAAGGGGAGCTCCCCAGTGTGGACCTCATACAACAGGACTCTTCTTGTATGGCCTCCTGTCTTAGGGCAATGGACTTAGGTGCACCCTCCAGACTGGTACTTGTACTACATGCTGACGACCCAGTATTGCTCTCGTCAAGCTCGGGGGCCGCACAAGCTGCTCTGGACTGCATGGCTAAATGGGCATTTTTGCACAAGGCGGCATTTCACGTAGGCCCTGACAAAACAGTTGCACTGGTTCCTGACTCAGCCGTGGGGCCGGGGCTAGTCATGAATATTCCTGGCAAGCTGCCGTGCGCCATTCATGATAAACAGCGCCATCGCTGGCTGGGCCTTTTGTGGCCGGCTGACCTGGACTTCCTCCCGTGCCTCTCTGCTCAACTTGGTCAAGCTGGTCAAATTGTCGCCAACATTACAGGCCTCATGGAATCCGGGGGCTTGCCGCTGTGCTTTGCCCTAATGCTCTTCGAGGCCAAGGTGGAGGGTCTCCTTCGTTTCGGCCGCTGGCTTCTCGCTACTTGTGAAGGCGCTTTGGATATGTACGACAAGGCCTTCAACCGCTGGAGCTGTGCCTTGCTCGGCAGCCCGCCCTGGAGGTCACCCGCTGTGGCACATCTGGAATTAGGTTGGCAGCTCATGGGCCGCCACCGTGCTGTTCTTGATGTGGCGAAACGAAGGGCAAAGCTGTGGTGCATGGCAAATGAGGACATCTACGCCCAGATGTTTCGCAGGGCCTTGGCCTGCCCGGATTCATGGTCTGCCAAAAGCCTGGAGCTCCTCAAGCAGTATGGCGTCCCGGACTTCCCAGAAGCAGGTTGTTGCTCGCTCGCTGCTTATGCCAGTCTTGTCCGGTCTCGCCTTTGTTCTGCTGCTGTCTCCTCCCTTGTGCTCTCCTGCGCGTCGCACTCCGTGCCGTTCCCCTGGTCGGTCCTCTCGTCGGGTCCCTCCTCGGCTCCTGCCTCCCTGCTGCGCCTGCGCCTCCCCTGGTCTGCTCTTGTGGGTCATCGCGCCCTCTGTCAACTCCGTGCTGGCACGGTACACCTTTCTCACGTCGATGGCCACCGCTCGGCTGCCAAGGTAAGGTGTTGCGTGTTCTGCGGGAAGAAGACCTATGCGCCCTATATCCATGTGTTAGGTGAGTGCTTCGTAAGCCTCTCTCCAGGCCTGCCGGACCCGGGTCCGAACCTTCCGCCAAGGGACCGCGCGCGGTTGCTCTTAAATGTGCAGGCCTCCAACGCTATGTTTGCCGATGTGGCGCATGTGGCACTGATGATTGTGCAAGAGAGCATGGCGTTCTGGACAAAGAAAAGGCATGCGTATCCCTGCTGTGCCCCCTCCCGAGTCCGGCTTGCCTGTCTCGTGTGGGGAAGGTGATGGTGCTCCACACCCTCGATCTGTCGCGACTACGTCTCGCGTCCGCTGAGGTGTGTTTGGGGCAGGGGACCATCCCCTTTGCGCACCGCCAATAAAACATGTCCTGCTGCTCCCTTTGCCCCACTACCCACCATCTGTCCGTGTGGGGCCCACATGTGTCCCTCTCTGACGATCTGTGGGTGTTGGGTCAGGATCTGCAGAGGGGGCTCCCCTGCCTCCACCCACTGCCCGGTCCGCGCCTGCTGACTGGCAACACCACCACCACCACCACCTAAACCCTTTTAGGCTTCATTTAGGGATCATATACCCTATACGACTATGATTCCTCTTCAGGGTATATGAGGCCCTAAACCGGAGCGCTTCCCAAAGCCCGCTTCCAGCTCAAGTACCGGCACCACAGCCCTGAGTCCTCCACGCGGTGCACCTCATTGACCTGATGCAGCTCTCCGCTGCAAGAGCCGTCGGCCAACCTCTTCATGGGGGTTTAGGGTTTAGGGTTTAGGGTTTAGGGCTCAGGGCTTAGGGCTTACGAATTTTGGGGCATCTGGGCCAACCTCTGGATCAGATCCTTGATCTCCTGCTTCACGAGCCAATGCTCTCGGAAGACTTCCTGGGAGGGGTTCTTGCCGACGTTCGTCCAGTAGAGCGGGAGCTCCAGCCTAGTGCATGGTTGGGATAGCAGTAAAGACTTAAACTTCTATTCCTCATTGAGTTTAAGCACCCTTAAAACATGTAACTTCTATTCCTTACTGAGTTTATGTACCCTTAAAAACATGCAAAATGTTTCCCGGCTCTGACAAAGCAGCAGGAAAGGGAGCTCTTTCTGGAGTGGCTGCCGGGACTCTGCCTGGTGCAGGCGCTGGTAGATGACCAGGTACTCGGGGTAGATCCTGGGTTGGGTGAAAAAAGATATTCCTATGTAGATGATCCCCTTAAACCCAACGTAAGGGAAGATGCAGGAATTGATCGAAAAAATATTCCTACATATGACCCCCTTAAACCCAATATAAGGGAACATATAGAAATTTATCCCAAGGGCCCTACCGAGGATCTGGTCTGCATCGTAGATCACCACCTCCCGGTAGGTGTTCACTGCCTTGGCGCGGTCTCCGATGGTGCTGTCCGTGGCCCCCGACTGGAAGTGGTCGATGGCGGAAGGCTCTCGATCCGTGGTGTAGTGGAACTTCCCCACCTCACAAAACCCTAAACCCTTAACCCTCAACCCTAGACCCTAAACCCCTTCAGGTTATGTCTTGCTTAGCTGCTTGCCATGGTTTCCCCTTCCTCAGCGTTCCTATCCGCACTTTAGCATGTCTGAAGCAAGCCACGTCTGTCAAAACGATCAAACTTCGAGGCTCTTGCCAGCCGAGCTACACAAATGCGGCAAAGAAGAAGGGCACGAATGCCATCATAGTAGCCGCCTGGCTCGTCCCGTGCGTACTCATCTGCTTTGGTGCAGCTTTCCTAGATGTCGATTTCAACAGCACCCCAGAATTATGTATCACTAGGGCTCCATTATTCAACAACAAAAAGGGAAAAATTAAAGAAATGTCCCAAATCTATACCTACTTGGAGGTTCACAGTGCTTATTAACCAATTACAACTACTTAGAAGCCCCTTAAGGACATTATCCCACATCGATGCCTAGCCCTTAAACCCTAAGCCCTGATTAAACCCTAAACCCTAAACCCTAACATTAAAAATCATCCCGAATCGATACCTAGAATTCGCAGAAGTAGAAGCCCTTGCCATACTTTTGTTCAACAACAACGGTGACATTAGAAAGAACTATCCCAAACCGATACCGAGGTGTCGCAGAAGTAGCCCTAAACCCTAAACCCTAAAAATCATCCCAAACCGATACCGAGGTGTCGCAGAAGTAGAAGCCCTTGCCATACATCGTCCCCGCGCCCGACCCCGCGAAGGTCATCTGGAAGTCGTCCTGGGCAATCCGCAAACCTGCTCCTGGGTTGGCCCCTTGAAAACGTAGGGTTTAGGGTTTAGGGTTTAGGGTTTAGGGTTTCGGGTTTAGGGTTTAGGGTTCAGGGTTGAGGGTTTAGGGTTTAGGGGTATGATCCTCTGAAACCCCATAAGGAAAACTGAAACATCTCCTTCAAGGCCTACCTAGGCTCGCACTTGGGTGCCATGCCAGAGGTACACCTCGTTCAGGTCGGCGCGCAGCTCCGGGAAGACCGTGTCCATGCCGGCGTTCACCACCTGGGGGGGGGGGGTTTTCCCTTCTTGGGGTCCTTATGGGGTTTAGGGTTGAGGGTTTAGGGTTTCGGGTGTAGGGTTTCGGGTTTAGGGTTTAGGGTTTAAGGGTACCCTTGTCCCTATTAATCAAAAGGGATTCTTCTATTTGGAGGTCTACAAAAGGGGTCCCCCTGATCTTCGAGTTAAACCCCCCACCTCGCTGGTAAAGAAGGCTGGGTCTGGCGCCGCACACGCGCCGCGCTCCTTGATCTGCTCGCGCCGGGCGATGTAGCGGTTGAACATCTCCGAGTCCTCGACGCCTTGGCTGACTGCTGAACCCCTCCGAAAAGTTTAACTTTTAGGCTCCTTCTCGCAGTTTCCAAAAAACCAAAAGGTGAAAGGAAGAAAGCCAAGACTCGGATGACCCGCTTCACCTGGAATCCCGTTGGCAGCCCGGGCACCCCGCCGGGCCGCACGCAGGCGCAGCCCCCGCGCGTCTTGTCGTGGGCCTTCCTTGGGCAAGGCCGGTCTTGCGTGGGGATGGGGCGGTAGGTCTGGTCCATCAGGTCCTGGAAAAGCCGGAGGTTCTCAAAGCTGACGTAGAAGAGCTCATCGAAGGACAGCTGGTCGGAAGGCAACGAGTGGTAGCCCGCATTTCCGGCGTCATTTCCGGCATTCCCTCCGCTCCGGGCCCAATAAGCGGGGAGGCTGGAGAAGGCCTCCTCGGACAAGGGCACCAGCTGCAGCGACGTGAAGTTCCTCACCTTGGCCGCCCCTCCGACGACCACTGCCTCCGGACCCACGTCTGTCCATGGGGCAGCCGGTGACGTCCTCAGGGACCTCCGCAGGCAGCACGCGGCCAGCAGGAGGAGGCCCACCGCGGAGAGGGCGGAGATGATGGGCACCATGAGGCCGAGATCGGACCCGGAGCTCTCGGTCTCGGGCTGGGGGCTTGGGGCTGGGGTGACGGGGTCACACCAATCAGGGCAGTGACAGCAAGTATCACACCCGAAGCCATAGCTGTAGCCGTAGCCATAGCCGTCGCCAGAGTTGTTGACAGCGACATAGCCGCAGTTCTGGCTATGGTTGCAGCCAGATGTGCAGTTGGAGCAAGTCCAGTGTTCCTCATCCCCACAGTCTGAGCAATGGCAAACACCGTCGTTCTGAAAATCACGGAGCACTTTGCAGCCATCAGAGCACAAAAAAAAACCACGTGTAGAGGGAGCGTTGTCGCGGTCTCCGTTCACAGAAGGGCCATTGCACGCGAAGTCAGATTCGTCGCTGCAGTCTGGGCAATCGCAGAAATTGTCGTTCTCCCACTCGGCCGGAAGATTGCAGCCATTGCAAAGACTGACTTCCCATACTCCCCCCCCGACTGTACTATTTTCGACTGTACCATTTTTGCACATGCGCAGATCTACACAGCCCCCCCACCCCCACTTACCTTTGCACCCTGACCCTATGCACGTGTCGCAGGTCCAAGCGGGCTCGTCGCTACAGTCCCAGCAGTCGCAGACATCGTCCTCCACAAGGTCAGCGTCAATCCATCTTTCTTCAAGGTTTCGGCAGCCACAATCAAACTTCCGCCGATATCCGGAGTCCCAAACGGTCCAGTAACGCCAAGAAGCGGCACGTAAGCAAAGCCCTGCTGCTGTGAGGAGGGCAACGGGAGCAGAAACCATACCGCAATGGGTCCTTCAAGCAAGGACGAGGGCGCGGTAAAAAAGGCCCCGAGACCCCGCTCGAACACGGAAAGGAAAGATCACAAGAGCACAGCGTCTCACGTTGCACAAGAGCTCGTCTCAAAGCAGCTGCCGGCTTGTTTTTCACAAGCAGGCATTTCCCGCAATAAGGGTACTCTACCCCCCCCCAAAATAGTATAATCCTCATAGTCGGATCCCCCCCCAAGACAGGGTAACCCCCCTATTGTCGGAAACCCCCCTTAGTTTGGGAAGACTGGCAGACAGTGCTGCTGCAAAGCCGAGCCACGGGCTCCAGAGGGAACTCTGTCGACCGAGGCGGCCTCGGGGGTTGAGGGTTTAGGGGTTTAGGGGTTTAGGGTTTAGGGTTTGGGGTTTACGGTTGAAGGGTTTAGGGGTTTAGGGTTTAGGGGTTTAGGGTTTAGGGTTTAGGATTTAGGGTGTAGGGTTTCGGGTTTCGGGATTCGGGTTTGGGGTTTGGGGTTTCGGGTTTAGGGTTCAGGGATGAAGGCTCTGAGGTTCTGCGCCGATGCCGGCATTGAAGAAGTCACCTGCTATTCTGAGCACGCTCAGGGGGTTTAGGGTTTAGGGATGTTTAGGGATTAGGATTTAGGCTTTAGGGCCAGGACGGGGTCTCAACTATAACTCCCGGAGTCCTCGCCCCCTGACATGAACCGCCTTAACCACGTTTCTTACCTGTAAGCTGTTGCTGCCTACAACCGTGCCCTACCAAGGTCTTTGCGACGAGCCCCGGGGGCCATTGCACCCTAAACTCTAAACCCTAAACCCGAAACCCGAAACCCTAAACCCGAAACCCGAAACCCTAAACCCGAAACCCTAAACCCTATGACGTCTCCGATCGGCTGCGGCCGCGGCTCCCGCTGTCGCGGCGGCCTCTGGACCTTGAGCAATCGCGTCTTTGGGAAAGGCACCAGTTTCGATAACAAAGGATGGCCACAAGCTCAGGTGCTTTTTTTGTGCAGTGCGGTTCACGACACGAAAGCTGGCGTTTAAGCAGTGACAGGTGACACTTGTGTGCGGGAGGAGCCCCGGAGCGTTCTCATTCATGAGTGCCAGACCATCCAGCAGATGGTTGACACGGCCCGTGTCTGTGCGTTCAATGCGAATGCCACACGCTTCTGAAGCAGGTGAGGGCAAAGGGCTTGCTGGACATCCAGGTCAAGGACTGCTGGTGTGCTGTCCGCATGGGCAGAACGCATTCTGATAGCCAAAGCAAGGGCATGTGTGACATTACACAAGCCCTCAAGTTCTAAAGCAGTCGACCCAAAAGGCGATCACCGAACAGCTGGCGGCTGGAGGCCACTGTTGCCTTCTTTTAGAGGCGGTAGAGGATCTACTCAGGAAGATTGATGACTGTCACAAAAATCTCTTGGGGGTTTCCGAAATTAGGGGGTGCCTTATTGGGGGTCCTTGTTATAAGGGAATCCTACTATTTGTGGGGGCTAAATTTTGGGGGTCCCCTATTTCGGACCACCCCACTTGCACTCGAAGGGTTAGGCCATGAAAGATTTCTGGCTTAAGTTCAGGGCCCATTGGGGTGGAGAGCGGGCCTCATGGGCAGCGGCGCTTCGAAATATGCGGTGGAGGTCGACAAGGTCTGCGCCATCACTGCCCGAGCTGAGGAACGGCGCGTTCGCAATCTCATTGCTCGTGGCTCCGCAGACGCCGCAGAGACCTACAAGCAGCTGATCGAAGGTATGGCAAGGCATGTAGATGATGCCGAGTTTCAGGATGAAGCTTGCGACCTCCTGATCTCATTCAGCGAAGAAACCTCGCATATGGAAGCCTTGGTAGAGGCAGGTGTCGTGAAGGCAGTGGCGGCGGCCATGTACAATCATTCCGAGAAGGAGCTCCGACGCAAATGCATGAAGTGCTTGCTCAAGATTTGCCGTGGTCGGAAAGGCATCTCGGGATCCGATGTTCGGCGCATGCTCGAGGGCATACTCGAGAAGCTCCCGAGCGACACGAAGAAGGAACTCCTGGACATGGCCGAGAAGGAGGGGAACGAGGAGGAGGCGGAGGTGGAGCAGGTGGAGCGCACGGACGCCGAGGCGGAAGAGACCGTGCGGTCCGAAGGGCCTTGGGTGCCTCCTTCGGCCGTTATGGAGATGGCCTTCCAGAAGGCCTCCGAGGAAGAGATGGTGGCCGCCACGAAAGCTGCGGTGAGGCACCTCCACAGCGTCACGCAGTTGGCCTTGAACCTCCGAGGTGGGCCAAGCTTCCCTCCCAGAAAAGCAAACGGGATATTTGTGTTCGCCCCTGAAGGCTTTTCTTAGGGCGGGGGTGCTAGGACCTGCTAGGATTATAATGGCCTTCTTTTGTTGCAGAGGCTTGGGTTCAGGGGGCCTTTGCATGCGATTTGCCAGGCCAGCTGTTGGGAGACAAGGAGTGCCAGCGGCTAGGCAAGGCCTTGCGGACGCCGAAGCTGGAGGAGCTAAGCCTGGACCTGGGTGCTGCGATCCGCCAGGGTTACAAAAGTTTGGCGGGCGGCCTGAAGCATCTCAAGGATCTCCGAAAGCTCACCCTGGGACTGCGGAATAACCCGATGTCCGAGCAGGACTGCGAGACGCTGGCTGAAGCCCTGAAGGCCCTTACGGCTCTGAGATGCTTGGTGCTGCGGCTCCCAGAGCAACAGTCCGGTTCCCACAAGGGCTGGGAGGCCCTGAAAAGGGTGCTTCCATGCCTCCCAAACCTGAATGACCTCACCCTGGACCTCCAGCAATTCTGCATCAACAGAGCTGCTGAGCTGCACACTGAGCCAGTTCTGTAAAGCTTGATTGGAGGGCTGATGCGGGTCTAGGGGAAGGTGTGCCTGTGATTTTTGAAAAAATACGAAAAACACAAAGTTAAAAGTATAGAAGATAGAAGCATTTTTTTTGGAGATTTTCTTGATGTATACACAGGAAAAGTTCTGCATCTCTCGCCAAAAATGTATTGTGTAAAATGTCAAAATATTCGGCGTCACATGCGAAGTGGACCAGGGTGGAGTTTTCAAAATGACAGGTACACACCCCTCAGCCTGACACCAGCCTACAAAACCCTCCCAAAACCCAAGCGCCCTAAGGAAGTCCTGGAATCACTGGCCCGGATTCAGCTGTCTCAGCTGTGCCTCCGCATGTGCAACTACTGCGGCGACAGGTTGTGGGATCGCGAGCGAAGCAGAGGGTTCGAAGTGCCTCGACCGTACTACACAGATGAGACGCGGATCAGGGAGAACTCCGCCCCGGAGGCCCTCGCCGGCTTGATGGCGCTCTCCGAGCTGCAGGGGCTGGACCTGGAGCTGCACGCTTCAATGCTGAAGGAGGAGCTTGGAGGAGGTCGGGGTGCTTGGCGGGTGGCGCTGCTGGCGGAAGCCTTGCAGAAGCTGACGAAGCTGCAGCGCCTCAGGCTGCGAGTTCATGAGATGGTTCTATGGACCCATTCCGAAGAGGATGCCCAGTCCTTCATGTCTGACTGCCTTGCCAAGACGCTGCCTGGCCTCATGCATCTAAGGGAGCTGAGCCTGGAGTTTGCTTTGAAGTGGCCAATTCCCGGCGCATGCGGCCTCCTCGCCGAGTCCCTGCGAAACCTCCAAAAACTCCGGAAGTTGAGCGTGAAGGCGGTCGAGCAGCCGTGTGGGCCGCTCGCACGGGAGGAAGGCAAAGGGGTGGACATGAGCACTTGGCCAAGTCTCGCAGAAGCCATCGGAGGCCTGAAGAGCCTCGAGGAGCTCGAGCTGAAGCTGCGCCATTATCTCGACCGAGAGACCTCCGGAACGTGGTGTGAAGCTTTGGTGGGTGCGCTGCAGGGCTTGCAGATGAAGAAGCTGGCGCTGGACCTCGACGTCAATGCACTCCCAGAACTGAAGATAAGGAAGTGGAGAGCCTGGCGAAGTGCCTGCATGTGTGCAAGAGCTTACAACACTGCGAAATTTCCTTGTGCCGCGGCCCAGAAGAGAACTACGGGGAAGCTCCGACGCCCCCGCTCGTCGCAGCCTGGCAGGAGGTGGCTCTTGCGCTGCAGGGGCTTCTCGGGCTGCTTCATCTGAGCCTCAAAAGGAATTATGACATGATGGAAGCCCGCAAGAACTTGGCCACCTCGTTGCGCGGCCTCCCGCTACAGGAGCTGCTCCTGGAGGATACTTTGAAGCTTGCAAAGGGAGAACGCCAGGGCCTGTTCGAGACGATGAGCCTCGGGCCAGAAGTGTTTGGCTATAGGACGTCGCTCCATTGCAGGGCTTCAAGGTTCACAGCCTTACGGGTTTAAGACCGCTTTGTGTGCAAACGTGGCGAGCATGCACGCTGAGGAGGGGCTTCCGGCAGCTGCAGCGACTGAAGATCTGGATTGACTTTCCCTTCGAATCGCAAGCAGACACGGATGGGGCCACGGAGAGCTTGGCGGCAGCTCTCAAGGACCACAGACAAAAAAATCCTCCGGCGCAAGAACGAAGTGTGTCCCCCAAGCAGACACTGAATCCCAAGCGCGAAGCATCGCCAAGCCCATCCAAGCCCCGAAACCTTAGCCCATCCAAGCCGGGGTTCTCGGGTCCCAAAAACCCCCCCGAGGAGCTCAGCAGCCTAACGCAGCTTTGGCTGACACTGGATGCCGCGCACAGCCAAGAAGGGTGCCAAGCTTTGGGCGACGCCTTGCCCCACTTGCATCTCAAGGACCTGGCTGCTGTAGCTGCTTGCGGGTTAAGGAGTAGCTGCTTAGGGTTCTGGAACGATTGGGGCTCTTGTTTCTAGAGGCCATCGCCTGACGCACCCCTCACAGCTCACCAGGAGGTGAAGATTCAGTTTCTTGGCATCCACGACAAGTCGAAATTCGATTCATTGCTGGAGACCCTGGCCGAAGGCTTGCGTCGCCTCACGGGGCTTCGGCGGCTGTGCCTGTACCCTTGCGAGCATGGGAGCTGCCACCTACCCTGTTTCGAGCAACCTCTTCTTGTTATTGGCCATTGTTGGTTTGGGTTTAGGGTTTAGGGTGTAGGGTTTAGGGTTTGCAAGGTGAGAGACACTTCCCCAGCCTCTGCCAGGTCCGAAGCTTGCTGAAACCTTGCAGGGGATGGCGGAGCTTCAGGAGCTGAAGCTTGGCTCAGCAGCGACGATGTTGAAGGTCTAGGGTTTAGGGTTTAGGGCCTTGGGTTTAGGGTTTAGGGTCTAGAGGACGATGTCGTCATTGTTTTTAAGACGTGGGGCTGACATCCAAGGCAGATTGGAAGTGAAGAAGCTCTAGGGCGCAGGGAGGCCAAGGGTGTCTAACTTGGCCTGCTGTGCACGTTGGGTGCCTTGGTGAGGAGTCATGCGTGGTGAAGGGGTCGTGACTGCGTGTGGAATGTTTTTGAACTGCAACCCTGTAGCAGGTCGCGCTGCTCATCGAGGTGATGATGCAGGGTATGGGTTTGTACCAATTTATGTCTCGTCTGAGGGGTCGATGAAAGACCTCAGAAAGCAATGTGGTATGCTCCCAGACCGCGGGAAACTGTCGAACATCCTTCCGGCGTTGAAGAATGGTCCGACGGCCGTCTGTGAAACAGGCCACCGTCTGTTCCGACCGTCCAAAAAGTTGGCATCCCGCCAGACATCTCCACCAAAATGAGATCTCATGCAAGGATGCTCCGTCCAAAAGTCGATTTCCGTGTAGCATACAATGCGGGGCACTCACCAAGTGCCCAGATGTCCACGTGTGCCTAACGACCAGACAGTCTACTAACTTAGTGGCTGTCGTATGCAGTTTCTGAGTGAACGAGGGGCTTCCAGGACCTGGACAAACCTCAGCCCCTCCACCCTCCCTTCTTCCTCCCTTCTTGACCTTGCACATACACAAAACCCTAAACCCTAAACCCTAAACCCTAAACCCTAAACCCTAAACTTCCCACACATGACCTCAGCAGAAGTACAGTTATCAGACCTATGGACCCACAGTGTAACGAGCGCAGAGAGACTTCGAGAGGAACAGGGTTTTTAAAAACAGAAGAGGGTTTTTAAAAACCCTTTTTAAAAACAGAAGAGGGTTTTTAAAAACCCTTTTTAAAAACAGAAGAGGGTTTTTAAAAACCCTTTTTAAAAACCCTCTTCTGAGGCCCTCAAACAAAGGAAGGAAGCAATGTTCACCAGGGCTGGGCGTGGTCCAGGCTGTCGGTGAGAACACACATCAGATGCTGGGTTGGTTTAGGGTTTTGGGTTTTGGGTTTTGGGTTTAGGGTTTAGGGTTTAGGGTTTAGGGTTTAGGGTTTAGGGTTTAGGAACAATAGACGTCAACAGGGACCTTGGCACATCACAGGAAGCTACACCTCCATGCAGCGCAAACAGTCGAGTGCCGGATTTGCCTCGTTTATGGGGGGAGCTCTCAGTCACTGCACACACAAACAGAAACACACCCACACACACGCACACCCGTTTGCAGAAACTTTCGGATGTGGGATAGGCAAAGGCGTTGTGTTCACTAGTGGCAAAAAACATTGAAGACATCCATGGCATAAGCCTCGCTGGCCAATCTGGTTTGCAGACCGCCAGTGCGCGTATTCACTCCGGGAAGCTCATCGGCTGCAGGCCACTGTCACGGTATGAGGAGGCAACTGCACAAAGAAGAAAAGCTTGTCATGTGTGTTGTCATTATGTAAGTCAGCAACTCTTCATGACATTCAATCACCAGGGCTAATGCAGACGACTCCGGAGCCTGGAGAGCATCAACGGCATCCAGTTTGTTTTGATTGTTGCATCATTGAATAAACTCAGGCCACTCAAGCCGTACGTCAGAATATGTCAGAATCGTGAAGCGATGTAGGGAGTGCTCTAAAGTTTCCACTGAAAGCCTGCTGGCCGACTACACTGCAAAAGGGCGAGGAAACTGCGCATCCTGGGCATCTAAGGTTCTACTTTTTGGGTATTATTTGGGCGTTCTACTTTTTGGGTATGATTTGGGGGTTCTACTCTTTGGGGTTTGGGCGTGGATTGGAATCGAACTGTAGATCTTTACAAACAGGTTGGTGCAACCTGTGACTTCGGATTGAAGTGCAAATGCCATAGCAGCCCTAGCTAAAAGCTACACAGGAGCTGCACGACGCAGTCAATCAAGATGAAAAGCTCACGGCACACGCGCCTTTTGCGAACCAGCACGCTTCCCGGCATCACTGGAGTCGATCACGACTCTACTCGGCACGAGGGTCCCAGAAGCAACCGTCGTAATCAAGGCAAACGTCTTTCTGGCGATACTTCTTGCAGTGATTTTCTCGATGTCCACGAAGATTTCTGCAGATCCCTGCCCTTTCCACCTCACGTGCTTCTGCCAGAGCTAGCTACTGCTGCAATGCAAAAACGCTTGCACCACTTGTCGACATGCGACTCCAAACACTGTCAACTTTCCGAATCAGAAAGCACATCATCCCCGTCCGATCCTACTGGCTCACGAACTTGCTGCTACAATACCCCAAAGCCTAAACGCTTAAGCACTAAACCTTGCTGAGGCGCTTACACTCGAAACCCGACTTGCACCCAAAATCATAGGCACCGTCTGAATGCAGTCAGCGGGCGGCTTGCGCCGTGGCGGTACTGATAGTGGGATCGGGGTCTACCACGTCCAGCAGGCTCTGCCTTGGACCAAAGCTGAAACCTACGTGTCATCAGTGCAATAAGAACAACAACAAAATAAATTATAAAGAGGGAAAATGTAAGCTAGTCTAGTCTAGTCCAGTCTAGTCTACAAAAGAAAGAATACAGTGCGAGGAAAATACCACATAACATAATAATCATATATGTGTGTATGTATATACATAAACTGCAAACTGATAATCTGAGAGCCTTAAGAATATATGATATTGTATACTAGTACACCTTGTTGTCACATAATTGAAAATACAATATACTAGTATTCAAAATACACGATTACTTGTAGTTGTTCTGAAACATGAAACCATGAAATTTACATTGATATAGAAGACAGAGTATAAAGTGTAGTTCAATATAACGGAATTCAACCGACTAGAAAATAATAGATCCCATTAGAAGATAACAGATTTAATGTCGAATATCGAAGAAAACAATTGTTATAGAGTATAGAAGAATAAGAAGAGAACGAAATAGAATCGAATCAACCAGAACAGGACAGAATAGCATAGAACAGAATAGAATAGAACAGAACAAAATAGAATAGAATAGAAGAGAAGAGAAGACTTGAGAAGAGAATAGAACGTCGTAGGAAGTAATTCACCACTTAGTGGATTCTTCCCGTCCAGCCCCTTATCAACATACTACAATGTACCCCCAAACCCTAAACCCTAAACCCCAAAACCCTATTCTGATTACTAAGGCATCCTAGACCGGCCAAAGGGCCTGGTGGACCTGCTGAGTTTGCCGAGCCAAGGCACTCGGTTGGTATCGCCTCTTCGAGGTTGCCTGGCACCGGTTTAGGGTTTAGGGTTTAGGCGGTTTAGGGTTTAGGGTTTAGGGTTTAGGGTTTAGGGTTTAGGCTTTAGGCTTTAGGCTTTAGGGTTCAGGGTTCAGGGTTCAGGGTTCAGGGTTCCCCCATCTGAAAGGTTCGCGGCTAGAGCATTCTCTTCAAGCAGTATTTGTTCCAGGGCTTCATTTTCTGATGCAAGTTCTTGATGAAAACCCGGAGAATTTTGAGGTTTGCAACCCAAAACCTGTGCATCCCGTCCTAGGGAGCAGGTCTCCTGCATAGGTGCGACTTCCTACGTAGGCAAAGCGAGTCAGGTCCAGAAGCACATGCCGACTCACTTTGACAAACCTGGCAAAGCAAGACAGGAACTCCAAGCGAACTCAGACCAACGAACCTTTCGAGCAATGCTAAGCCTAGGCAGCCACCGAATCATGAGATGACACTCGAGGCAACCGGCAAAAAAACATCGAATCCAACAAGCAAGTATCAACTCCGGGAGATTCTGGTAGCCTTCGAATGAAAGCCCAGAAGCGTTCCGGAGACCAGTGTGCAGGTCGCGTAGCGCCGGTGAGCAAGAAGGCCACAGCTACACAGCACCTCAACTCACTGTGAGGGCAAACTCAACCCTAAACCGTAAACCCTAAGCCCTAAACCCTAAACCCTTCACCCCAAACCCTATACCCTAAACCCTAAACCCATGCTCAGCATCCAATTGCGGCCCAAGCAGCCAAGATAGCACAGACGAGGCGGCCATGGCCTTGCGAAGACATGAGGCAGACAACGGGGCCCTAAGTCTCTGAGCCAAAGACTCGATTGGCTCGCGTTTTCAGGTCGGACATGCGGATGCGTTCGACTGAATGGCGGAAACAAACCCCAAACCCTAAACCCGCAGAGCCAACCGTAGGCCCTAGACCGCACTTAAACCCTAAACACGACCGAGGGCCCAAAGCTTTGCAACTGTTGGCGCAACCATACGACCCGTTCCTCACCGACCTCTTCTCGACTCCGCACGACCCCCTCTTTGCCAGCGTGGCAGAACATGAACCCTGAAGTTACTGATGGAAAAATGTTGTAAAAGACTCTACACAGTTTCTGCGTCAGAACCTACAGTTTCCAGCACAGAGAGCGAACGAGGGAGAGAAAGAGAGAAGCGCATGTCTGCACAAATGCCGAAGAACATGTGTGTTATGCATGCATGTGTGCATGCATGCATGCATGTGTGTATGGCGCGAAATGCATTCGGGGCTTGCATCTGGCAAGGTCAAACGACCATTCGGGCTCTGAATCCCGCCAGTACATGCTGTGCGTTGGGACGTGCCTCAAGTTCTAAGGCACTTGACGATTTTGATTGTCGTCCCTAGCTGAGAAACGCGTGTCCAATCGGTGACAAAAGTTTTTTAGCGTGTCGTGCTTGCATGCAATAAAAAGGCTGTCGGCATGCAGGCCACAAGCTCATGACAATCTTTAAAATGACTCTATAATCACACCACCATTCAGAATCGCAAAGTTGCGGAGATGTGTTTTTTCCTGGTATTTATGTGCGTTTCCTGGTATTTATGTGCGTTCGCCTGCTTGACAGTGCAAAATCCTTGGCAAGTACAGCATTCACGAGCTTTTAAGTCCTGTATTTACCGCGTTCACGGACAGACGCTTGAAAATGATTGCAATATGCCGTGTTTTCCTCGTTTCAGCTTCTGAATCATTGCAAAAAACCGCATTCCGACCTGAAAACAAGGTCTTTCTGTACGTTCCCTTGCTTGACAGTGCACCAAATCTTTGCAAGTACAGCATTCACGGGCCTTTCATACGCTGGAATACTGCAATTTGCAGTGTTCCGTGTTTCGAGTGCTTCATTATTGCACAAAAAAACCGTAAGTCATGGTATTTCTGTTCGTTCGACTGCTGTCGACAGTGGCGCAAACAAACTCAATTGAAGTCTCCTTCGACGTCGAAATGGCTGCCAAGTTCTGCCTTTTGGGAAAGCCTAGATCTTAGATGCTGATCAGAATGGGATCTTGAAAAGGGAACATCTGAGAACTACCCACATGGAGTCCGAGAATTGCAATCCAGCCCGAAACAGCTGTCGTTCCATGGGTTGGTAGTGGGTATCAAGGGGCTACATGAAGCTATAAGAGGACCAGACAAACAGGCCAGAGGCCACTGGCCTTTGAAACAATGGCCCTTTGTTTCTAAGCCGTTGTTTTTCCTTTGTTTCACAGAAACCGTCTTTTTTGTCACTTTACTTTGGGTGCTGCTGGGGGGCCCAGCAGTAGTAGCAGAGTAGCAGTAGTAGCAGCAGAAGCAGTTAGATAATTGTTGAATTTGGATTGCCTTGCGTCAAACGTTGCGCCGCCGGTAATTCAGATTTGGTGCATTGCAACGATTTCTTACAATGATTCAGCAGCTCGAAAGGCGGAAGCCACTGCAAATGATAGTGTTTCAAGCGTTTTTAAAGCCCGGTCCGTGCGTGCTGTGTTGCTAGCTCAACGCTTGTGAAAGGCCGCAACGTGCGCTCAAGGCTTGAAAAGACTCAAACTTTCATTTCTGAACCGCATCCAAACTTCCAACCCAAACTCGAGGAGTTTCAACCAGAAACCAAACCCGAAGCCTGGCTTAGACCCTGTTCTTTCGCCTTCAGCACGCACAAGTTGCCTGAAGAGGGATACGGCGTCACAGCTAGGAGGTTTGGTCTGCCTGGCCACCCAAACTCTTTGTTCATTCTTCCTGAAGGAGCTGGATCTCTAAACGGTTTGGGGTTTAGGATCCGAACCCTGACTTTGAAATTAAATCTTAACCACTAACAGGAACCTGGAAATTAAATTACGTTTCGCCTTGCAGACCATGAAAACCAAAGGGGAGGAGGAAAGGTGAAGGTCAGAAAGCTTGGAAGGCTTCGAAAGATGAGAAGGAACGCTTTGAAGGCTTCAGAGTGAGGATCGGCTTCTGGAGAGTGGTGTGGGGGGCGCGCAGCTTCCTCTTCTTTGAAAAGAGAGAAGAATCGAAGTGAAGAAAGAGAATTCCACGTCTCAGTTCTTGTTGTTCTTCAAAGCCTGCAAGCAAGGTGCCCAAAATGCCTGTTAGGCATCATTGCTTGGCATTCAGAAACTTAAAGACTGTTCTCAACTGCGCCAGCGGCCAATTTTTGAAAATGCAAACCTGTTACAGAATGGAGACTCGAGATCTTTCTCCCTGCTGCTCTGCTCCGGGTCCGGAGAGCCCATGGGCTTTAGGTTTGCAATTTATCTGCGTGCTGCTCACTGTTCTGTGGGCCGATAGAATATCTCTCTTGCAGGTCCAGTAGGTCAATAAGCTTCAGGCTTAAGATCTCTCTCCCTGCAGCTTCTGGGTCCGAAGAGCCCATGGGCTTGTGATTTATCTGCATGCTGCTTCCAAGTTGGCGTGGGTCCATGGCTTTAGTGTTCGCTCTTGTACTTCATGCCGGGTCCAAAAACCTGATAGGCTTCAGGTTCGTAATTTCCCTCCTGCTGCTTCCAAGTTCTGAAAGACCACAAGCTTCGATGCATGACTTAACCTTCTTTTAACCTCCTCTAGCTGCTCTGCCAATCACATCTAGGTCTTCTAAAGAAGTTTTAGGCAGCAGGAACTCGGACGTCCAACAGAAGATCCACAGTGGTCTGTGCTGCAATAGGAACCTAACCTGACAAGAACCAACACAGAACCCAAAGCGTCTGTGCACCGTAAGCTTGTGTCTTGCTGGCACCTGTGAGCACGCCTAATGCATATGCGGGCACCTGGTGGCAAGACACGTGTATACTAGCTAAAGGGCGTGGCACTAAGCGCACTCCACTGTTGCAAAGTTGATACGCTGCACGGGCGGAAGATTTTTTTTTTGGACTAACGCCTCTTTACTACATTATAGATTAGACTCCCCAATGCAATTTGCAATTCCCTGCATGCTCTGTGATTGCACTGGGACTTCAACGTCTTTGCTTGCTTTGTTTCTTCGGTTTCTTTGGTTCTTGGGTGGTTGCGTGGTGTGTTTGATGGTTTGAGCGCGCTGACTTTGTTCACCTGTTATGTCAAGCCCAACAAGATCGGCCTACTGCTACTGCGGGTCTGTTATCTGTCCTTGACGACAAGTACGGGATCCTGACTATCGAGTGATGACCTTGGTTCGAGCCGAATGACGTCGCACCTAGCTACATGATGGTGGTTTTGAGAATCTGGCAGTGTCGCAATTTGCGACTCCCCGCATGCTCAGTGCTGTATGATTGCACCGGGACTTCAACGACAACTTCGAGTACTAAGTGCGTGGGGTTACCTAGTAGTTCAGCGCCTTTGCTTGCTGTTGCTTCTGTTTCCTTGTTTCTTGGGTGGTTGCTCTAGGGTGGTTGCGTGGTGTGTTTGGTGGTTTGAACGCGCTGACTGCGTTTCACCTGTTATGTCGAGCCCCACAAGACCGACCTACTGCGCTACTGATGTAGTAAAGAGGCGTCAGTCAAAAAAAAAAGGGGAATTGCAAATTGCAACACTGCCAGATTCTCAAAACCACCATCATGTACCTACTTGTGCGACATCATTGGAATCGAACCGAGGTCATCACTCAATGGTCAGGATCCCGTACCCATCGTCAAGGACAGATAACAGACCCGCAGTGGCAAAGGGATGTTACAGGTCAGACTTTCCAGGAAAGACATGCGGATGCCCCATGGTGGTTAGCCAGTGGGAACTTAACAGCAAGAACTATCAAGGCAAGACCGGCCCAGGGCCATGGTGGTCAGCCAGTGGAGCAGCTCCGAGCGAAAGATTCTCCGCTCACCCTGACTTGCAGCTGCGCCCACCTGGATAGATGTCCGCGCACAAGCAAAGTCTTTCAGACGGCCAGAGGGGAGGCCAAGCCTTTACTGCGTGAGTAGCTACAGCTACCAATTCCACCGTGAGTGTCATCAGCACGTTGCCAAACCCTTAAAAGCACAGAGTTGAAAGTGGCGACCGAAGGCCCCCAGTCAAGACATTGCACACAAGGCCACACAGCTTTTGCGTTGGCCTGCGCATCAGTCTGCATCAGGTCCCTTCAAACCCTAACCCACGAGGTACGTCGGTAAGGAGATGGGAGGGCTTACATCACGTTTGCGTGCCGAAGCGCTGAGGATCTCCATGGCAAAACTGCTTTGTCCAATCAGAGCCATCAGGCTACAGCCAAGCAAGCGGCGAAACAGCTGTGCCGCCGCAGGCCAAGCACAGACGAGGATGACCTCTTGAAGGCCAGGTTCGTGCACAGGTGCTCAATGGCTCCCTGCCATGGCAGTGGGTGTATATTCTCCACATAGAAGTGCCCACAGTCTGGAAGAAAGCACCGCAGTATTGGTCTTTCCAGAGTCGGCACTCAGCCGAGATATTACAGAAGGGCGGGTCACATTGCCGTAACAGCGCGTGAATCACGTGTCGTCTCGTCCAGCGATGAGCAGCGGGGCAACTAGGGTTGGCGGTTGTTGGGTTTCAAGGCCGAAGGGTTTACGTAAGGCCATAGCACAGAAATGGAGCAACCGACCCGGCTGACGGGGGCAGAGGAGAGGAAGACTGGGCAGTCTTACCTTGGACATAACACGATGAACAATCAAGGCAAGACCAGCCCAGAGTACTCCATGGAGGTCAGCCAGTGGAGCAGCCCCGAGCAAGAGGCTCTCCGCTCCATTAGGCTCACCGCAGCGCCCACCCAGAAGGGTGTCCCCGTCCCGACAAGTTGCATCAACCAGCCAGAAGGGAGGTCAATGCGCATCAGTAGCGACCGATTCCACTGGGGGAAGCACCAGTCCTTGCACATAGCGGAGCAGTGGACCTCAGGGTTTGCCAATGTTGCACGAATCTTTCCTCGCTGCACGGGCGGGAGAGGCAGGTTACTGCTGGGTGTAGGGCAGTTCTTCGCATCAACAGGCAAAGGGCTGTGTAAGTCACACAGTGAGCAGCACAGCCCTCACGCTGCAGGCTGGTATAGCTACGCAGCAAGCAGTACAGCAACCACACGCGAACTAATGCATCGAAAGCACAAACCTTTACTGTGTTCTCGCTCTTACTAGCAGACAAAGGTCCGCGCAATGCGCAAAGCACTTCCTTAGCGTTCTCGCTCTTACTAATCAAGGGAAGCGCACAACAAACAAACACCCACCTTTTCCGTCCACAACGGCAAATCAACACAAGTAACATTTTACGCCCTTAGCCAGGGGCCTGACAAGTGCAGTTTGGTTTCCAACTTTAAACGGTTCACAAAGAGAAAGAGAACGGGCGTTCTTAATCTCTATAAGAAGATTGTTTCGGAGTGACAGGACAGCTGAGGGCTTAGTTGACGTCACTTTGGAAGGTTGGAAGCGGGCGTACCCAACACTCAGTGTGCACAAAGACAAAGACAAAGGGCAAACCACCTTGCGGTGTTGAAACAGCTGAAATCCAAAGCCAAGCTCTGATTCTTCTTGCAAGCGGACGCACAAGGAACTGCACAATGCTAAGAGGCCCCAGCTACAAAGCAAACACAGCACCAAGCTGTTATTAGAAACTCTGTTCGAGTTTGCAAGAATGGCGAGCAAGAGCCTTGAAATTCCAGCTGTCTGGCTTTTACTTGTGTCAAAAGGCTGGCTTGAGTCTTCAGGATAGCCGAATCTTAGCTTCAGTTTTTAGAAGCTAGTGTTTTACCAAGGAGTCCTGTACGTGAACGCATGTTTGGCTCAAGGTCGGAGTCGTGTTTCAATGCAAGAAAGAAGAAGTGTTTGGAGTGCCTGTCTGTAACTGTGAAGGGTTACGCACGTGCTTAAACTGCGGAACGATTTTGCGTGCAGCTCTGTTTGCCTTCTGCATATACTGCTTATTTGTGGGTCTTTCAACTGCTTTGTTGCATTTTCATGGATCTTTCACAAGGTTCTCCAGAGCGTTAGGCGCTCTTTCACAGGTTTGCGTGTGCAAGAAGTGCCGCAGTTACGCTCAGATTGAAGCTTTGGGCAAAGACAGGCTGCATGCAGACAAGACGCAGTCCAACAGTGCTCGAGTTACGCCTGCAGCCGCTTGCACAGGTTCGCTTCACCAATCCGCAGCGGCTGTTAGAAGACGGCGCTGGGTTCTTTTCCAACACAGTTCACAAGAGCTTCTTTGTTTGAGTTTGAAATTGATTCCTTAACTCCGCTCTGGTCACTGCGCGGCAGCACAGGCTGACCAGGCATAGGTCTGCTGGGTGGAGAGGCTGAACTTCGCACCCATGAGTTATTGAAAGGGAGGCTCTTGGGTAGGGCCTTCTTGGAACCCACTTGACACCAAGATTCACCGTTGGGGCCTTCTTGGACCCCAGTTTAGAATCATGATTTCATCGGAGCCTTCTTGGGCTCAACTTGACACTATGACTTTGCCCGCAGGGCATTCTTCATGATTTCACCGGTAGACGAATGCGGTACAATGTAGTGACTATAGTGTTGTACAGTGAGATTCAATCATTGCTTTCGCCGATTGTGGATCTTGGTGTTTTTGGGCCTTTATCCATGATTACCATTCCCTGCATGCATGCATAATCAAGCTGAGTGCTGAAAGTAATCAATGTATTTTGTTTGTCGATGGCCTTCTGTTGCATGACTTGCCAGGCGACTGACACACAACCTCACACAGCTGAGCGAGCGGACGGAATACGAATTTAGAATTTGTGGAAGCTTGTTTGATGTTGGAGCAAGTTCTGCACCACCATGTCGGGGAGGACAGCGCCAAACTGGAACGGACCACAAGTGCATAGCTTTTGAGGCTGTTACCAATAGCGGTAAGACAAGACAGCCCCACCGGGAATTGAGCCTTCCAGAGTTCCAGTCTGAGACCAGCCATTTTCCCCGAGGCCACGGCAACTTTGTGCTCCTCTGCAAATCCACATGAATCCACATCTCTACAATTGTTGGCTGTGTTCCAGCTGTGTTTGCATTGGTGTTTTAGTTAGCATCCCCATTCTCCCTTGCCGCAATTTCAAAGGCCTAAAGTTTCGGACAAGAAGCTGTTGAGAAATACCAGGCGCAGTAGGACTGCGCCCTGGCCGCTAGCGCGACATGTGCTCGAAGCAGCTGGATTGTGACACGATCATGAGAGATGCATGCTTAACCAGCTTCTGCTCGGCCTTCGGCTGTGTTTGCCGAGATCATGCAGTATCATGCATGTGACAAAGTACTTGCAATTTCATTTTGCATGCATGCCTTGATGCAACTATGTCCGTTGCCCCTTCGCGCAGCTTGCTCGAGAATGATGTGCACTTCCCGCATGAAGTACCGCGTCCCAGAACCCCATGCGAATGCTTGGAGCTTGACATGAAGTAAGCCCATCAAATTCCAAGCCTGAAACCCTAAACGAGCGCTTCATGGCTTTTTGCGCAGGAATGACCTGCAAGTGAGGAACTGATTGCATGGCTCACAGGCACTGTGTAGAACAGCGGCCCTACTGCAATGCTCCCACCGTGACATTTGGGTCATTGCGCTTTTGGTTTGGAAGCAGGTGCAGCTTCTAAGGTACGGCTTCTTCAGCAAAAGTGACAGCAGCACATTCCTTAAACCCTAAACCTGAGCCCCAAACCCTAATCCCTAAGCACCCAAAGCACCCTAAGCACCCTAAACACCCTAAACACCCTAAACACCCTAAACCCTAAACCCTAAACCCCAAACCGATCTTTCCACTTCCATCATGGCCTTGCTTACCGTCCGGGATCGCCATCGAAACTTGCCTGACATCGCGATCGAAGATGTGGACCCCAATGCCAGAATCAGAGATCAAGTTGAACATCGACTACCTTTGGGTCTGTCAGTTCCCAGAGACTCCAATACTCCTGTTTTATAAGGAATATTCTTTCCACCACCCCAAACCCTAAACCCTAAACCCTAAACCCCAAACCCCAAACCCCAAACCCCAAACCCTAAACCCCAGGTTAGCACTTTGAGCGTGAAGGGCGAGCTTTTGGCCTCCTCTGTGCGCGTGTGCGAAGTGGGGGGCCCGCTCATCTGGATGAAAACCAAGGCCGGGCGTGTGAGTGAACAGCATCGCTGGCGGTTTAGGGTTTAGGGTTTGGGGTTTAGGGTGTAGGGTTTAGGGTTCGGGCTTGGGGTGTAGGGTCTTGGGGGTTTAGGGTTTAGGGTTAGGACCGCAGATATGGGTTCATGAGGATGATGGTGACTGAGAGTTGTGATGTCGAATGCTGGTAAGGCATGACTGTGACGGGGTGGGGAAGAACGATGATGACTGCACATGCCAGTGTTCAACAATACTTGGAGGTTCAGGGTACTGTACTTATAAGCCCCCTAAGTCCCCTGCAGCAATAGGTGTGAACGTGAAGGATGCCGATCTCAAGGCGATGTGGTTCGAAGAGGCGTTCCGCCTTCTGCAGGTGGGCGTCTCTAGCAATTGGTGGGGCCTCGGGTGCCCTTCACATTGCCAGGGATCCTTGCTTCTGCTGTTGCTTACTCTGGGATTTGGGGTGCTTCTTGGGGTCGTTTTTACGGTGTGGTTCTTTCGGGATTCCCTTCTTCAGGGGCCTCGTCGGGAGCCTCCTTCGTTCAACTCCTCCCCGCCTGCTGCCAAGCGGCCCTCTGATCTAAGGCTCCGGGCCTACTTGCATGAGTGAGCCAGACCTCAGCTCTGCCATCTCTCATTTGGCCGATTCCTTGCAACAGCTTTCGCTGGCCGTGCGCGCCACCTCTTCCCTAACCCCTAGTGACCCTAGTGGTTCTAGTGAAGGTTGGGAATTAGTAGGACCTGAAATCTCGGTTGAGCCAGGGTCCCGTGTGGCTCCCGGGCCCCGCATCCGTGCACATCATTCCCAGCTTTCTGCCTCTGAGCTCACTCTTCGTTACAACGAGCTGCAAGCTGCTTTTCCTCCTTTGCCTGATCACTGCCTGCGCTCTTGCCGCTCCCTTACTGGATCGGGTGCCACTCCTGAGCAGCGTGCCACTAGGGCCTGGGTCGCTGGACTGTGGGCCGGCCTGGTGCTCTCTGACTGTGTTCCGACCCCTCGTGCTTCTGCAAGGCTGCCTTCCGGCCTGCGGCCTCGATTTTACGTCGTTTTGCGGTGTTCGCGATTTGAGGGCTCGCGGCTCTTTTCTTCAGGTCGGTCCTTTAAAGAGGCCGTGGGATCCCTCGAGGAGTCCTCTACTGTTTGCCACTCCTTCGCCTCTCTGTCGGAGGTTGAGGTCTTCTGTGAAGCTGCTGGAGTTGCAGTGCCACCGCAACAATGACCGATTTCGATGCACTCGAAGTCCTGAGCGACGGCCACTTGAGGTTCCTAGCTCTTTCCTGGCCAGAAGATGGGCGAACGGCGCCCGTGCCAGAAGCGTTGGCGATACCGGTGCTCAAGAGGCGCAACGAGGGGGGAGGCATTCTGCTTTGCATTCCGTGCGGCTTTTTGTCTCTTGTGGCCCTGGACGCCGGCAACACAGCGGAGCCCCTTGCACTTTTGGGCCCATCCTTTCAGGTGACTTTGCCTCTGGGTGTGTCAGACGAGCAGGGCTTAGAACAGCCCATCGATGTGGAGACGCCTGTTCTGATGGTGGATTTCGGTGCGGGAATCCTTGCTTCACTTCGGGAGGTCGGGGAGGATATCGTCTCCGATGCGATCTTCCCCTTTTCGTTGCACCAGCCAGAGGCCACGCCGCTGAGCGACGAGTTGTTGGCAGCGGCCAGGAGTTGGGTCTCGGAGTCTCCTTTGGATCGGACGGTGTTCTACTCGGCGCAGGAGGATGCAAGCCAAGGTCTTCCGCCTGCGCAGCAGGATCGACCGCCAAAAGGCCGGAAACCGAGCCCCAAGAAGCGTGTCACGACGGCCGATTTGGCGGCACAGTTGGCTCAACTTTCGTCCATGCTTCCACTCCTTACAGAGCAGCTCACTTCGGTCAAGGATCGCCAAGAGGCTTTGGAGAGGCAGGTCAGGGAGGTTCCCACTACAGGCGTTCAGCAGGCTGCAAAGCCGCCCCACCAGCAAACCTTTCTTCCTGCGCAGGGGCCTGGCCTTCCGATGGCGAAGTATGCTTCCCTGTTGGGACCCCCTCCTCGGACTCGGCAGGAGGGCAATCCTGTACATCCCTTGCCTCCCGCTGTTGGGGGTGTGGGTCTTGCAAGCTTAGGCGAAGTTGCAGGTCAAGACTCTTTTCAAACCGCAATGCTGCAGCAATCTCAGGCCTTGTCCAGCCTCGTGACACACCTGCTCTCTCAGCAGGAAGGGGGAGTCGAAGGCCTTGCATCATCAGCCTCTTCAAGCTATGTGGGTTCGAAGGGTGCGGCCAAGAGAGAGAAACTTCAGGCCGCTCTTGCTGCGAGGACAGGAGAGTTCTTCCTTGCCGTGTTGCAGAGTGCCTCTCGCAGGCTCCGGCCTTCAGTGCCCATTCCTCCTTCTATCGAAGCCTGCTCGGGTCAGGTCTCGATGTGCCAATACTTAGAGAGATTCGGCGGTTTCGCAGGGCAAAGGGAGAACGGCTACCTCATGTGGTGTTTAGCGCACGTGATGGACTGCATGGTCCAGCGGGACTATGCAGGGGCAGAAGAACATCTAGCCTTGACCTTCGCTGCTCTGGATCAGGCCACATTGGACGGCAACCGTTGGGACTTCGCCTGGCTAATCACATTGCTGGAGGAGCCGCCGGCCCAGCTCTTTCACGGCAGGGGCTCTTCTGTGAACCCGAGGTCCCGAGCGTATTCTCCTCTGTGCCCCGGCGCTTGGACAACCTGCGCCCTTCAGTACTTGAGGGAGATAGACCTGATCGCCACCAGGAGGCTGGAAGCCATTGGCCGTTCAAAGCCCAGCGCGCCAAAAGAAGCCGACGTGGGCGCCGAGGATCGCGACGAGCAACGGTCAAAGAAGCCCCCCAAGCTCCCCCGCAAGCCCAAACAGGACGGTGCAAAGTGACTTCTTGTTCTCGGCCGCCACCTGGCCTCACCGGCTGCCATCCTCACTTGGGCTTTGACTCTCGAATCAACTTCGCTTCGTGGGTTGGAGGTTTGCTCCGCGCCGTCCTTCGGACAAGGACTCCCTTCAGCTCCTTTTTGCTTTCAACTTTGCACCTGCCCAGGTCTGACCGGCCTGCTCCGCCTTCTGGGGGCATCTTCCCTTTGCCCCTTCCTTTTGCTGGCGTGTTCGCCCGCTTCCCTTTGGGGTGTAGCTCTCGCCTTAGGCGGCGCATCATGCACAGGCGCCTCCTGCACATTGTTTGCATGGCTTTGAATTTCCTGCATTCCAACTTTGTGCCAATCCCTCCCGCTGCACTCCAGCGGCCTTGCAACGCTGCACAGCGAAGCCTTGTCGCGCGTCTGGGCCGCCTTTTGAAGGCGTTCGGTGCCTCAGTTGGGGAGTTTGTTCTCTCTGATTCGGGCCGCCGCAATCCACAATTGATTGCACGTCTTTCTGAGCTAACGACATTTCTTGCAACTTCTGCTGTTGCCACGGGGGACGCCTATGCTGCTCAGTCAGGCACTGCTGTTCCCATGCACAACGATGCCTTTCAAGGTTTGGACCCCTTTAGGTCACTGGATGTTTCCAGGTTGCAGCTCTCAGGCCGTGGCCTTTGGAATCCACTGCCCTATCTGCCACCGGAGCTCTACATGGCTTTCGCCGAGCCGGCGTCCCTACTTCATTTCAACCCTCCGCCAGACGACTTCATGCCTGTGTGGACACGTGAGAATCCCCAAGAGGTAGCTGCCCTTGCTTCACTTTGGGATAAGTTGGGTTTGCTTAGGCTGGCGCCTGCTCGGCTGTCCATGTCGGAGAGCTTCTTGCTTGCTCGTGCGTTCAACTGCTACAAAGGGCCGGATCGAGATAGAATGATCATTGACCGGAGGGGTCGCAACTATGCCGAATGCAGGCTCGCAGGGCCCAGCATGTTTATACCAGTTGGGCCAATGCTTGGCATGCTCGAGGTCGACCCCGGCCGTCAATCAGTGTATTGTGCTGCTGCTGACCGTCGCGACTTTTACCATCAGCTCAAGGCTCCAGATCGCAAGTCCGTGACCAATGTGCTGGGACCTGCCCTCCCTCGGCGTGCGGTTGAGCATCTTCAGGCTTTTGGCCGACTTCTTCCCTGTGGGCTTTCTGCCACAAATCCTAGTGCTTTGCAGTCGCCGAGGTCTCTTCTCTTTGAGCCCGACCACTACCTGGTCTGCTTTGCAGCTGTTGCTCAGGGCGATCACTTAGGTGTTGAAGTGGGGACTGCAGCGCACTCCGCTTTGCTTGAATCTGGAGGGCTCCTTGCTGATGAACGGCGATTGTGCTCGAATCGACCCTTTAAAGGCACCACCTGTGCAGAAGGTTTAGTCATAGACGACTATTTTTCGGTTTGTGTCAAGGACCTCCGTGATCCGGCGCCCCCAGAGTGCCTGCGTCACCTCTCGCGTGCTAAAAGCATCTATGCGCACGAGTCTCTTGAAGGCTCGGACAGCAAGGACATCGTTGGCGCTTGTTTTGCGAAGATTGCGGGAGCAGAAATCAATTCGTCAGAGCACGCCCGCCGTCTTGGCACTGTCACCGTTGCTTCTCCCGCTGCTAAACGAGTTGCCCTTGCTGCCGTTTCGGTTGAGGCTGCCCGGTTTGGCTTGGTGACGGATGCTCTGTGGTTGTCTCTTGTCGGCAGCTGGACTTCTTGCGCCCTTTTCCGCCGGCCGTTGATGGCTATCTTCTCTGCTGTGTATGGGGTCGCAAGCACAGGCTCCTCCAAACCGAGCCGTCCGACTCTTTGCGTGTTGCCCCGGCAGGCCGCCCAGGAGCTTGTCCTCGCCAGCGTTCTGTGCCCTCTGGCTTCGGTTGATTTGACTTCCCTCTTTGACCCCTGCATATATGCGACCGATGCTTCGGAGGCCAAGGGAGGCTATGTGACCGCACATGTAGGGACCGATCTTGTTCGTCCGTTGTGGAGGACTGCTTCGAAGCGTGGAGGCTACAGCAGGCTGCTTTCTAAGGAGGAGGCAATCCTTGTTCGGCTGGACGACCGTGAGCCCATTGATCTTCGCATGCTGGCGCCTGCAACCTGTCCTTCGCCATCTCGGCCATTGGCTTACCACTTCGATTTCGTCGAGGTTGGAGTACGGGGCGGCTCTGTCTCTGAGCTCTTGCGGTCGATGGGCCGTTCTGTTGGGCCTGTTCTTGATTTTCGGGTCAGCGTCGCCTATGACATCATGAACAGCCGGACTTTTGAGTGGATTCTTCACCTTCTACAGCACCGAAAGCTTAAGAGTCTACTGCTGTCTCCACCGGCTGCTGCTTTCTCCCCACGAAAGAGTCGGTGCTCTCCAAACCCAGGCTTTTCTCGGCCATCCTCTGCGCGTGAGGTTCGCGCGACTCGCGTGTTACGGCGGCATCTGGCGCTTCTCTCTTCTGCAGTGCAATGCGGCGTTCCTTCTGTGATCGTGCGTCCTGACTCGCCAGGTTTCGTTACCGGGCCTGAGTGGCATCTGCTGTTGCGTTTCGGGGCCCGATTCGTGGGCACTTGTGCCTGTGCCTTTCAAGGTCTGTGCTGCAAGGGCTGGAAGTTCCTTGTTTTTGGCCTCGACCTTACACCGCTCTCGGTGCCTTGCTGCCGCGGAGGCCTTTGTGTGCAGTCCGGCCCCCGGCAACATCCCGATGATGCTTTTCTCCCTCCTCTTCTTGTCAAGGCTCTTGCTTGTGAGTTTGATCGAGCCCTGCGTCGGGTGTCACATGTTCGCTCCCTTCAGGCTTTGAAGCCTGAAGGGCTTGAGAATCCCGTGTTGAATGATGTTGTGTTGTCAGTTCGATGGCTTAGCGGTGACGATTGGTGTTGGCGGGCCACAGCCCACATCAATATCCTTGAGACTGCTGCCATTCACCGCCTTATCAAGGCTCTTGCGGTGCGAGGTCCTCGACGGGTTGTTATCCTCGTTGATTCATCCGTTGCCTTTCATGCTTGCGCAAAAGGGCGCAGCCCTTCTAAAGGCCTGACGCCGATCCTCCGCAAGATCGCTGCCCTTTGCCTTCTTTCTGGACTCCTGCCAGCATTTCACTACGTCCCCACCCGCCTTAACCCTGGAGACTGCCCTACGAGAGACCTTCATTTGCCTGAACCTTGTGACTCAAGCTTTTGGGGTAGACTTTCGCTTGACGAGCTGTATGAAGGCCTTTCAGGCCTCAAGCTGCGCAGGTGGGCTTCTAACTGGGTTAGGCTGGTTTGCCTCGTTGCAGGTCCACCTCCTTCCTTTCGGCCCTCCTTGGGCTGGCGTGCATACCACGTTGCAAGCCGTGGTTTCGACTCCACTCTTGGGTTCCCTGGTGAGGGTCCTTTCTTCAGGGTTTTCTGGGTTCTTTGGTGGTTCGGGGTTTGCTGCCTTGCTGTAGAAGAATCGAGCCATGTTTTGCGCCCTCGCCATGCTGCTGACCGAGAGCGCTCTCTAGCCAGGTCCACTGTTGTGTTGGCAGAGGGGCGTCCTGTTGAACCTGTGACCCAGAAGCGCCGTGACAAGCTCCTGGCTGCCTTCACCGAGTGGCTTCTACGCCAGAACGTCGTCTTCGAGAGCCTCTTTGACCTGGCGCCACAGAGCACGAGACGCTTGAACGGCTTCTTGATTTCTTACGGTAGGCAGCTTTTCGAGGCAGGCTGGCCGTACAGTCACTACTCCGAAGTCATAAATGCTGTAGCGTCGAAGGAACCTGCCATCAGGAGGAGTTTGCAACCTGCGTGGGATCTTGCTTTTTCCTGGCTGCGTGAAGAACCTCATTCTCACCATGTTGCTTTGCCATGGCAGGTTTTGCTTGCGGCGATTACGACGTCGCTCATGTGGGGCTGGGTCAGGGTAGCTGGCTGTTTGGCTTTAACTTGGGGCGCTGTGATGCGCGCTGGTGAGACGCTGGCTGCAAGGAGGTGCGACCTGCTCCTCCCCGGAGACGTTTGGGGGACCATGCAGTGCTGCATGGTTTCGATTCGCGAGCCTAAGACCAGGTTTAAGGCTGCGAGACACCAGGCTGCCAAGTTGGACCAGCCCGACCTCCTGGACGTCGTCACTTTGGCTTTTGCTGACCTGGAGCCTGGATCAAAGCTCTGGCCGTTTTCAGCTTCGACTCTTAGGAGCCGTTTTGATCAGCTCATGCAGCGGCTTGGCACTGACCGTTGGGCTGATCAAGGTAGCAAACGCCTTGATTTGGGGTCGTTACGTGCAGGCGGTGCAACCTGGCTGCTTCAGGCCTCGGAAGACTCAGAGCTAGTGAGACGCCGCGGCAGGTGGCTGAATGCCCGCACCATGGAGATATACGTGCAGGAGATTTCTTCACTACAGTTTGTGCATAGGCTGTCTGAGCAGGCCAGGCTCAAGGTCTTTGCTTCAGTTGACAACTTCAAGCTGGTGCTGCTCGTGGCCGAGCGGCTTCAGAAAGCACGGACTCCGACCAGGTTTTGGTTTTCTCACTTTGCCGGCGGTTGATCGGCATCCGCATGTGGTGGAGCTGTGGTGGCGGAGGCAAAGCCGAAGGTGGCTTCGCTAATGGGACAACTGCAGACGCAGGTGCAAAAACAGTGGAGCTTCAGCGTAGCAGTGAAGGCTTTCCGAACTTGAACACCTGCAGCAATAGGTGTGAACGTGAAGGATGCCGATCTCAAGGCGACCCACCCTACCACTCCCGCCGCCGGCAAAGCCGAAGGTGGCTTCGCTAATGGGACAACTGCAGACGCAGGTGCAAAAACAGTGGAGCTTCAGCGTAGCAGTGAAGGCTTTCCGAACTTGAACACCTAAATAGGTTATAGGTAGACTTATAACTGGGGTTCTAAGTACCCATGAACCTCCAAGTAGTTGCCAATGCCAATGCGCATGATTGTTTTCTCTTAGCTACGAATGTACGTGATGATGGCGATCTTTGATGTTGATATTGAATGAAGATGTGAGCGGCCACCTTGAATGATGCTAATGAGTGGCAAGTTGTCTATACACTTGTTGAACATGATGGTGCCCCATCATGAGCCCTAAGCCCTAAACCCTAAACCTCAAAACGCTAAAATCGTAAACCCCAAATCGTAAACCCCAAACCCCAAACCCCAAACCCCAAACCCCAAACCCTAAACCCTAAACCCAAAACTCTAAACCCTAAACCCTAAACCTTGAACCCTAGACTTCATTAGTGTTTCAGGCCCAGAAGCCCGCGCGCTACGTGACGCACTGGAACGGCCTCAGCACTTTCTTGGTCGAGATTCTGTCCCGCAAGCACCGTTGGAGGGCCCGGGTCTTTCCCAGCTTCTTGGTATCCTAGTAGTGGGTTTAGGGTTTAGGGTTTAGGGTTTAGGGTTCAGGGTTTGGGTTTTAGGGAAGGGGCAGAAGGGTACCGCGGGTCTTTCCCAGTTTCTTGGTCGCCCAATAGTGGTGGGTTTTGGCTCTTTTTTGGGTCTAGGGTTTTGGGTTTGGTTCTAGATTCAAGGCTCCTTCATCAAGTTCCCAGCCCCAACAGAATCTTTAGAGTATGGTTGCTGCGGCTACCCAAAGACTGCAATTCCTTAATACAGGAAGATTTCTTAAACAATAAGGCACCCCCCCCACTTTCGGTAACCCCCCATATGGTGCTTCAACCCTAAACCCTAAACCCTAAACCTTAAAACCTGAGCCCTAAACCCTGACCCCTCAGCCCTAAACCCTAAACCCTAAACCCTAAACCCTAAACCCTAAACCCTAAACCCTAAACCCTAAACCCTAAACCCTAAACCCTAAACCCTAAACCCTAAACCCTAAACCCTAAACCCTAAACCCTAAACCCCAACCCCTAAACCCTAAACCCTAAACCCTACACCCTACACCTTAAACCCTAAACCCCAAGCCCTAAACCCTAAACCCTCTGGGTACCCAGGCTTTGAGATGTTGGGGTGGGACCGCTCCGACGACCAACTTGGCGATGAGAGCCCCGAGGACCCAGAGCTTCCAAAACCCCTTAGTTAAGGGTTTCGGGCTGAGGGTTTAGGGTTTAGGGTTTAGGGTTTATGCGAAGGATCCTTAGTAAAAGTTAGGGTGCATTCGTGAATTGAGGGGGTTTTGAGAGCTCCGAGGAGGATGTGTCGAGCCTAGCGCCTTGGAAACGCCGGCGTTTGGAGAGCGATGAGGCGAATACAGGGTCCTTAAGATTTAGGGTTTAGGGTTCAGGGTTCAGGGTTTAGGGTTTAGGGTTCAGGGTTTAGGGTTTAGGGTTAGGGTTTAGGGTTTAGGGTCCTTAAGGTCTAGGGTTCAGGGTCCTTAAGGTTTTAGGGTTCAGGGCTTATAGGGTTTGGAGAGCTGTGAGGAGACCGGAGACCTGGGGTTTCGGGGTTTCAGGTTTCGGGGTTTAGGGTTTCGGGGTTTCGGGGTTTCGGGTTTAGGGTTTAGGGTTTAGGGTTTAGGGTTTAGGGTTTAGGGTTTCGGGGTTTAGGGTTTCGGGGTCTAGGGTCCAGGGTTCTGAGGAGACCAGAGACTTGGGGTACAGCACCGTGGGGGCGGATTTCGATCGCTGGCCTGTGCTGGACATGGAGGTGGAGGACGTGTTTCTGGGTCCTTGTTCAACATCATTTTGCATTCTTATGAATACTTAAAACCCAAGAAGGAACGAATCTTGATCATTTTTACAGAGCAGTGGTGCAGGTTTGTTGGAAGAAGTGAGTTGGAGGACCTGACCTGGAGGTCGATGGGTTTTGGAGCTTTTTTCGACGGAAACTCCATCCTGCTGAAGAAGCGCCAGAACGAATACATCTTTCTTGGCAAGGAGACCTTTGCCAAAGGAAGTTTTTTCTGTTTCGATTGAACTCGTGTGAAGCCACCTACTATTTGGAAAGCATGTGTCTAGGTTCTGGAACAAGTCCGAAGGACATATTCGCTTTCAGCTCGCGGGCTGAGATTCAGAAGTTCGCGGCTCCCGTGGGGAACAGCTCGGTGCCGTATAGCTATGCGGTGGACGAGGATGGTCGACACTACTTGTTTACGGAAATGGTGATTCTTGAGAAGGTTCATGACACGAAGCCCAACCCGCGCGACATCCTGGGGCCTTTCAACCCCTACTGGTACCTCTATGAAGACTTGGCCTACGACAAGTGCAAGTTCCAGCTGAGATACTGCGGGATCACCTTAAAGTGGACGCACCCCAAGCAGATGACCTTTCTGAAGCTGAGAAAGCAGCAGGTGATGAAGTATGAGAAGCTGGTGAATGGCAAAGCGCAGCAGGTCTCAGAGGAGAAGTTCCAGAGGCTTGTGGCCAAATGGTTCAAGGCGCATGGCATCTCCGAGCTGGAGGGTGAAACCCTCCCCGTCGACAGACAAAATTGACCGAACCAAGTCGCCCAGGTGGGCAACTGTGTTTGGGGAGCTCGCCCGTATGGTTTTCACCTGGAAGCCTGGTTTTGACCAGCGCTGCGTCCGCGAAATCTCCGAAGCCACTGACGGTCCGAATCAGACACCGTGAATCAGCGACCACGAGCCAGCCACAGCGACCAACTGCTTCGAATCAGCGACCATGTTTTCGGATCAGCGGAGATCCAACTTGGATCACACCTTATTGCCTTATTGCCTTGCGCTTTCACGACACGGTCCACGGCCACTGCCGGCTTGACACAGACACGCAAAAGGCCGCCAAAGATTGCTCCGACAGCGTGACGCGAGCTCTTCGACCTGGAATTTCACGTCCATCGTGCTTGGGGGCGGTTCTTGTGGACCAGCGTGGGTGACGTGCACATGGCGGCTCCGAGTCCCCAGAGAGCCTGAGGCCGCCGAGTCCCGTTGCAGAAGGGGGCGCAGCCGGGCTTGAGCTTGTTTTGGCTGATGGCCTGTTGCTCTGCAGCATTGCGCACACCCTCCAGGATCGTCCTCCAGGCAGCAGATAACCTAAGCCCTAAAACCAAAATTCCTATGCACCCTCAGCCCTAAACCCTAAACTTTTTCCGAAACCTCTGGCAGGCTTTCTGGGTGAGCGCTCTGCAGCGCTGATTAGCCTGCTGCTGCAGAGGCGAGGGTCTGGTGCGGTCTGTTGAGGTTTTGAAGCCCTTCTAAACCATCCCTGTACCCTAAACCCTATAACCTTTCTGAACCATCCCTATACCCTAAACCCTTTTCCTTTCTAAAACATCCCTATACCCTAAACCCTATACCCTAAACCCTAAACCCTCTACGTGGAGTTGTCCTCAGCTATCCGGCTCACCCTTGAAGGGGTTTTGGAAGGACTTGGAGGTGCCCCGCTCCTGAGAGCCCTCTGCAGCTCCCGAAAAGAGCCCGACACTCAACGCCCCCACTCCGACCCCAAGGGTCCATGTACCTTCATGCTATATGCTTGGCCCCAAAGTCCCTCTGTAGGTACTAATGCTCTCTGTTTAGGTACATGGACCTTCAGGGGAAGTGTACGAGCCCCTGTCTGTGTTGCACGCAGCCTTTAGGGGGGGGGGCTTGGTATGAGGGGATGCGAGGGAACCTCGCGGTCGAGAACCTCACGGTCGAACCTCACGGTCGAACCTCACGGTCGGGGCTTCACTGGTGTGTCTGTAGGTTTACCATTTCGGGATTAGAGTTTGGGGTTGTTCGGAGGCCTCCTATCCGCAACAGGTGGGCTGTTGGGCGTGGATGAGGGCCAGCGTGCGCCTGCCGAGCTTTCCTTTCTGCTCGGCTCTGCCCCTGAGCCTTGGTGTTTAGGGTATTTCGGGTGTTGAGGGTGTTGAGGGTGTTCGGGTGTTTCGGGTGTTTCGGGTGTTGAGGGTGTTCAGGGTGCTTTGGGGTGTTTAGGGAGCTTACGCTGATGGTTGGGATTCAGGTGAGGATCGTGGTAAGGGGAGGCCCTTGTGGAGAAGGCTCTTCAGGTTCCCCAGATCATAAGTCGACCCCAAACCGTGCACTCTTAACCTCCTGAAAGTGCCCGTAACCGCCTGAAACCTTCAAGAATCCCTGCCAGACGGTAAGAAACCCTCCTTGTCTCGGCCTTCATGTAAAAAGGTATCGACGTTTCTGGAAACCCTAAACCCCTAAACCCTACAGGCCTTCCTCCATTCAAGACCTTCTTCGGGTTTCGGGCTGTGGCCCGGTCTGCTGAACCAAGACCCTGACTTCCCAGCAGCCTAAAAAAGCGCCCTCCTTACCTAAACCCTAAACCCTAAACCCTAAACCCTAAACCCTAAACCCTAAACCCTAAACCCTACACCCTAAACCCTAAAGCCTAAACCCTAAACCCTAAACCCTAAACCCTAAACCCTAAACCCTAAACCCTAAACCCTAAACCCTCAGCCGGACCCCAAGCCCGAGCTCCTCAGCCCACTCTGCGCCAGGTGTACCTTTGCCGACGCGCAGACTGCGTGCGGCTCTTCGGAGCAAAGCCCATGTGCGGCTGTAGAGGCCTGGCCGGGTTTTAGAGGTTAGAGCACAGGGGTGTGAGGCTTTAGGGTAGGTTAGGGCTCAAGGTTTAGAAGGGTTTAGGGGGAGTTTGGTAGGTGGCTCTGACATGCAAGATGGCCATCAGATGCTTGGAGTTGCCTTTTCTTCTTGTATAGGGTGTTTGCTTTGGTTCCGCTCAGGCAAATGACGGGCATGTCAGCTCTGCAGGGCATCGCGAGACAATACCCGAAACCCGAAACCCGAAACCCGAAACGCTGAACCCTAAACGCCGAACCCTAAGCCCTAAGCCCTAAACCCTAAACCCTGAACCCTAAACCCTAAACCCTAAACCCTAAACCCTAAACCCTAACTAGGGGCTTCTAGGGTGTAGGGCTGTGGCAAGGCCGACTCTAAAGGCTTCTCCAGCGGCTCAAGCGGGGAAGCCTTCTGCCGGGGGGCGGTTTTCTCCTCCCCATGTCCCCGCCCCAAGTAGGAATCTTCTGAAGTAACCCCATCACCCCCCCCAGGCTTCCGGCTCAGAGTCGGCTTTCGGGTGGCAAGGCTCGGACTTCGAATGTTGAAACTGTCAGGTCATATCGGGGAGACCTTCTGATGGGAGGGCGCGCCGTCCCTGCTCCCAATCTCGTCCCCGAAGTAGGAATCCCCCGACGCAAAAAGCACTTGGGATTTGCATCCTTAAGATCCCCAAAGCCCTCACAAGAAACGAATCCCCGAGGAAATAGGGACATAGGGCTTCCGTCTTCCTGGGGCTCCCTGACTTCGGGTCTCTGGTTTGGGGCCAGGGGTGTTTGGGCTTGGGTTCGACAGGATCTTCGGCAGCCTTCGCCGGAAACTGCGCCTTGGGCTGCCGCCTGAGACACCTCGCAGCTGCTTCGGGGGAAGATGGGAGGGGGAGGGCTTCGGCCTGCTCTGCCTTAGAGTGCTTGCATGACGATGGAGGGACCCTTTAACAGTTTAGGCTTCAGAGGTTACGTAGGTTTGTCACAGAAGGGGTTTCGGGCGTTTTCTGGGATGTGGCTGAGCATCGACGAAGGTTGTCTTTTCGGGATTTGATTGAGTACCGACCGAGGCATCCCGGGAGCATCTTAAAAGGGGGTGTCAAGGCCCCATCCGCTTCCGCCGCGCAGCATGTTTTCTTCTTGGTTGAAGAAGGATCAAGGTTTCACTATACAACTCGCCAAAAGGCGAAGAGCCCCGCCCCAATGGACGCGACGAACGAGACGACCGCCCAAGGAGTCGACCTGCTGAAGACGGCGGGTCTCGACGACCGGGCCACGTATTGGTGCCTGGTCATGTTGGCAGTGGCAGCTGCCACGTGTGCATGCGGAACAGTCATCCTTGCAATAGGAACGTGGCGAAGCCAACAAAGAAAACGAACTGCACTGTCGCTTGGACACGACTCCCCACGAAGTGGGACGGGGATGCCAGGTGCCCAAGTTGTTGGCACGACGGCCGTCGTCTTGCATGATGCGGATGTGGCACCAGACCAGCCTCTGAGGGCATCGGAGGAGCGGCAGGCAATAAGCGAGAGCAGGCGCCGATGGCAGCTCCTCGGCGTTTTCCTCGTCACCTTCACACTCTGTCTTGCGTTCGTTATAGCAGGCATTGTGGATGGCAGCCTGTCGAAAGAGACAGGGCTCGCGTGGGAGAGCTACGCGGCCCTGCTCTCTTTAGGTTGCATCTGGATGCTTCTGCAGGCGGTCATTGTCGCCAGCACGCTCGAAACGGGCCGCGGCTATGGTACAGGGGCCTTTGCTGAAGCCATGCTGGGAGGTGTGTGTCCATTCATAGCAGATTCCTTCGACACGCTTAAGGATTCTATGTTCGGGGGTCTCTGTTTAAAGTCTTCTCATGTATTTCTGAATGTCGTAGGAATCTGCAGTTGGATGTACCTTTTCGGCTTTCACATATACTTTTTCACCCAATTGCGTTTTGTAGCTGAGCTGGTGGCCAGCCACCTCGCCGTCTTCGGCCTTCCGACCCTCGATGCGACGAAGGGTGCTGCCTCCAACATGAAGATGTCCGAGAAGCTGGTGGCAATCGCCGCGAAGCAGATCTCCCCCACGAAGCGGCACATGCTGATGGTCGAAAACCTGCCGCAAGCAGGCTTCGCCATAATCTTCCTTGCCACCGAAGGCGGAAGTCTCATCGTGGCCCTCCTGAGCCTGGGAGTCCCCACGGTGCAGATCGCAGCGTCGCTCGCGCTCTACGGCCGCATTCAGAGACGCTTAGTGCCGTGGTACGCAATGAGGTTTGAAGCGGCCATGAACGATGCGGATGAGGTGCTGGCCAGGCGCCTCTGGAGCGAGATCGATGGGAACGAGCAGCTCTGCACGAAGATCGCCCTGTCGACTCCTTTCTTTGGCGACGTCGTCCGTGCAAGGGGTCGCCATCGTGCGGAGCTGGGCCACGTCGTGGTCGAGGGCGGAGAGGACGAGGACGAGGACGCCCGAAAAGGTGTGCTGGCAGCTCATGAGAAGCGCGGAGCGTGGCTGGGTGGACTTGAACGGCATCACCAGCTGGGATGGGGCGAGCCTGGAGGCGCTGCTGCGCCTTGTCAGGCAAGCCGCTTGGGTGCGCGAACTTTCGCTTCGGAATTGCCAGCTCGACGGCCCTTCCCTGGCCCCGGCCCTGAGCGACGGCCTCCGGGGGATCCGGCACCTGAAAGTGCTTCTTCTGTCCGACAACCCGCTGGGGAACGAAGGGGCGGAGGCCCTGGCCGCGGCGCTCCCCCACTGCGGCCTCGAAGGGCTTCACCTGTCCTCCACAGGGGTTGGATCCGAGGGCGCGGAGGCGCTGCGCCGGGCCCTCGAGGAAGGCGGCACCGCGCTGAAAAATCTCTCTCTCCGAGGAAATGACGCCATCGGCGGGGAGGCGAAGGCGGCCCTCAGAGCATGCTGCGAGAGCCGTGGAGTTGCAATATCCTTTTAGAGGCCGAAGCAGGAAAGTCCCACTCTTCCCGGGGCCGCACCAAAGGAGGGGTGAAACGGTCGTCAATAGCTTTCGTGGAGCGAAATCATAAAGAATCCATTAGCATGAGCATTCCTGAACTTACTGAACCCCACTCCTGCTGAGATCTTTGAAATTTCATTGAGACCTCGGCGTGGATCCGACATTTCAATGTGTTCTTTCATCTCGGAGTTCAGGTGTTCGGCTTCTCAAGCGGAAGCAACTGCACGTGTAGAGGCCGAAGAAGAAGGGTTTGAGAAGTGAAATTTCGTATGCCCGATACCTGCTAAACAAATCTCCTAACGATTGGATTCTGTAAACTTGCTGACAAAATCCCTTGAACCCTCTTGTTGAGACCTCCGCGCGGATTCGATTTTTTTCGTGGGTCCTTTCATCCCGGGAGGCTGCGGTGGTGCTCTGCACATTTCTGCTTCGAGGGTTCTCAAAAAAGGGAGAGCATTCTACAGGGTTCTATATGAATACATAGGGCTTTGGGGATTTAGGCTTTTTTTAAATGCATGTCTTTGAGTTCACGTGGTGATTCGTTTGCGCGGTTGAAGCATGCAGTTAAGTTAAGAGTGCAAAAGCAGAATTCCAGGCTTCTGGACTTTCTGGGTTCCTGCACCAGGTTCTGGATCGCCATTCTTCTTGGTGGGGGGGGGGGGGGTATTTCCAAGGCATCCAAATGTCTTACAAAAGTGTTTCACGTCTTAAGGCATCCAGAGACCCCCCCCCTCCGATAAGTGCTCGGACCTGATAGCCTCGGATACTTGTAGCGCAGAACTCATATAATAGAGACTGTCAGGGAGACAACAATCAGAGAAGCCAGCGCGCCTTCTTGAAGAACCCTTTGTCACAAGGCGTGAGAAACACTCTCCGCCTCCAGAATTCAGTTTCCGCAGCTGCTCAGTTGAACTGTGGAGTTTCACCTTAATCCTTGTTGACTGAGCAGCCGAAAAAGCTCCGGGTCGCGTTCATAAGGACTAGAGGGGACATAGTTGTTGCCGAATCATAAACTTCCCTCTACAAAGCAACCCGAAGCTGTTGAACCCGTGAGGCTGTTACAAGGAGGTTTTTCATAAACGCAAGGTTGTTTACACGCCGAGGTTGCACTTTGCCCCGCGTCTTGGACTCCCAGCAGAGCTTGTAGGGTCTCGGGTTGGAGAGGGTTCTTGCCAGGACACATTATTATTATTATTATTATTATTATTTTTCTTTTTAAGATGAAGTGTTGTGAGTCTTTTGGACGTCCAGGTCTGGAGCTTATGAGTTCCATGAACGGCGCCGAAAAATCTCGGCATGCCTTTGCGCAAGCTGCCCATGCTCAGCCCCCAAAACACCCCCCAAAACACCCCCCAAGCACCCCCCGAAGTTCCCAAACGAGGGTCCCACACCGGCCCCTTAAGATCCCCTGCGCAGCCCGATGCACATCCGGATTTTTTTGGGGTTTTGAAGTTGGCTTCGGTGCCAAGGCGCCCCTCCGAAGCCGCATAGACCCTGAGCCAGCCCTAAGCTCGCCCTAGGAACCCTAAACCCCCCTAACATGCCCCTCTCTGCGGAGTTGAGAGGGATTCTAGGGTTGAAAGGGGTTTGTATGAGAACGTTCTTCAATAGGCTCTGTAGGGTTTATGGGTTTTTTCGGGCCTCAGCCCCCCCAAGCCCCCTAAGGTGCCCAAGTGTCGTTGATTTGAAGCCCGCGAGGTCGCAAAGCCTTGGGGTTCGTGGCCACTTCCCGTGGGCCCTGCCGCGTTCGGGGGAGGCTCCGCGGCAGCAGAGGGCGAAGAGATGTATAGCGTTGTATAGCTGGCTACAAGCTCGGCTTTGGTGCTGTTTGGTTGGACCTTCAGCACCGGCAGCCCAATTGATTCCATCGGATTTCTTTGTTTTCCCGGAATGCGAATGTCGATAAAAGAAGTTCTGCGGGTTTCTGGTCTCTGGCTTGAGCTCTTCGTTGAAAGGCTTTTGCTCTGCAGCATTGGCAGCCATCCAAGATCTTCATCCCAGCGCCCGGTACTAAACCCTAGACCCTAGGCCCTTAAACCCTACAACCCTAAACCCCAAACCCCAAATCCTACACCTTGCAGGTCTTCCAGGAGCGCCGCAGCTTCTTCCCTTCTTCCGCAGCGCCGGAAAGCCCTCGCCGCGGAGGTGAGGAGGGGGAATAGTTGATAAAAGGCATCGCGCGGCTGCGGGTTGAGGGCTTAGGGTTTAGGGCGGTCTATTGTTTTGTTATCTCCTGTTCCCTGAAATGAAAAATTTCGACGACTCTGCCCTGCCAGGTTCTCAGCCTGAAGGGATGGGAGATGAAGCTCGCCACCGACAGCACCGCAAATCATGCGTGCAAAGAAAAAGGCAGGCACGTATTCACTGCTGTTTGCTTAAGAACCACCCCAAAAAGAAGACAGAGAATCATTCCACGTAAGGGCAATGAAGGGGGTTTATGTTGTGTTTTTGGGGGTTCTTAAGCAAAAAGTAGTCCAAAGGCATAGTCGCATTTGTCACAGCAGACCATGCTGGACAGGGAGCATCTATGCTAGTTTTTCAAAGGTCAAAGTGAATCCGTTGGGGCCTCTCGCCCCTGGGTCGCAGAACACAATGTTCAATGTTTGACACACTTTGCGCAAACTTCCTACAATCTCAACCCTAAACATCCCTAAGCCCTACGCCCAAGACCCATTGTGGCAGAGCCGCCGTTTTAAACCTTGCTCGATCTCGTGACGAACCTGAGAGATGCAGTCCACACAAGATCCCACCAGCCAAACAATAGCAATAGCCCTGAGTCATGAAGCATCATGAACCTAAACCACAGCCTACTTACCACGACTGCAGACTTTGTCTCGCATAAGCCATACGGACAAGCTGCTATAGTTGACGCAACGCAAAACGGTTCTTCATCTCAGCATGGCGGGGGAGGGAAGTGCCTCCCTCCCCACGGAGCAATCCAGGATCTTCCCGGAGACCCGACGCGAGAGCTTCAAGCGTCAATTCTCGGAGGCAGCCGATGAACGGGTGCAGAATAAGCTGGGCAGCAAGATGAAGTTTTCCGAGGGCGTGATCTTTATGATGAATTCCTTGACTGGGCTGTCCGTGCTCACCTTTCCCTATGGCTTTGCACAAGCTGGGATCCTCCTGGGTGCTCTGATTATCTTGGCCTCGATGATCATTTCCTTCATGACAGCCACCTTCATGTGTGACTTACTGTTGGTTAGTAGGAAATGACGGAATGAGGTACCCCCCAGATCCCCCTATATATACCCTTTAAGGGATGACATAGAGTACCTCAGTCCCTCATTCCCTACCAACCAACAGTAAGGTGAGGCGCTGACCATCGCCAACGCCCTTGAGTACGAGGAAGCCGAAAAGCAAGTTCTCGAGGAGCAGCCAACAGAAGTACGCCAGGCTCTGAGAGAGCACGTGGAGCGTGTCTCTCAAGAAGAGGTGCACTCTTTGCGCAAGAAGCTGTTGGAGGACAACGCGACCCCTACGAGCGGCTTCAGAGGCAAGACCGTTCAGTTCTTTCAGGCCGAGAACCGCATCAAGAACCCGGAGCGCGAGTTCAAGATCCGCGAGCGCGTGGAGCTGGGAGCCGTCGGGGAGCGCGTGCTGAAGGAAGGAAGGGCTGACAAGATCATTGCAGCTGGCATCTACGTGATGATCTTGGTCTTCACCTATGGCACGGTCTCTGCCCTGGTGGTCACGGTGAACCAGTCGATGGCGCACACGATTCTGGGAGCTGCGAGCCTCCTGGGCTACCCGGAACCCGATGAGGATCAGGTCTACACGTGCTGCGTGGTCGCCGTGTTCTTCATCACGCTCCCCTTGTGCTTCAAGAACCTGCAGAATACCAAGAAGTTCACCGTAGTGATCATGTGGTGCCGCTTCCTGGCTATCGCAATCCTGCTCACCGTGGGCGTCTGCAAATCGATCGAGCGACTGCAAGAAGAGGGCTTGGAGGCCATACGTATTCCTCTCTGGAGACCGAGTGGCTTCGTCGCAGTCTTCGGGAACTCAGTGTGGCTCTGTGGCATTCACCACTACCTTCCCAGCATGATCTCACCCTTGGAGGAGCAGACCAAGGCCCCCAAAGTCATCATCACGGCCTTCTCCTCCATCTACCTGTTGCTCAGGGATCCTTGGGAGTGCTTTTTTTGCACATATTTGGGCACTGCAATTGGAATTCCTAAGAAGCAGCTACTATCAAGATCTCTGCCAGGGGTCCCCAAGTTCAACACCAGGCTAATCATCTCCATCTGCGGTACGGCGCTGGTGGCTTGGGAGGAGGAGAGGTGGACTAAGTGCTCATCGATGCCCGGGGGGCACTACTGCAAGATCCAGCCCTTGTACAACCTGAACTTCTCTCCCTTGAGCCTGGCCGGAGGGGCCGTGGCGCTCTTCCTGCTGGCCTACCCGACCATGGCCATTGCCAGCATTCCCATTGCGGCCATCACGACGCGCAACACCATGGGCCAGTGGCTTGGCGTGAAGCCCGCCGACCCTGAGTCACCCTACACGTTCTCGAACGTCGGCCTTACCATGGCCGTGCTTACGCCACCCTTCACGGTGGCCCTCATCACCACGGACGTGCAGGCGGTGATCCAGTATGTGGGAGGCTATGCTGGGCTGTCGGTCTCGTTCCTGTGCCCCATGATTCTTCTCATCAGATGCCGCCAGAAGCTGAATCTCAAGAAAGAGTTCGATGTCGATCGACCTCTGAAGTCTGCCTTTGCCAATCGCATAGGCTATACGGCAGTCACCTTACTCTACCTCCTTGCGCTCTACATGGTCACCAAGAGGCTGTTCTTCTCGTGACTTGGGGGAGTTTGCATCGTCGGAGATACCACCCCTCTAGAAAACGAGGGTGCTAAACCCTAAACCCTAAACCCTAAACCCTAAACCCTAAATCCTAAACCCTAAACCCTAAACCCTAAACCCTAAACCCTAAGCAGCGTCACTGCTGAGGTTCCATTTGCAGCCAGAAAAAGAGGGTGCGCAGATTCTTTATGTAATTTTATGCACTAATATCCCTGTGTGTCTATGTTGCCTTTTTCTCCAACAACCCGAGCCCTGTAACCCAAAACCCTAAACCCTACACCCTAAACCCTAAACCCTAAACCCTAAACCCTAAACCCTAAACCCTAAACCCTAAGTTGTGAAGCAGCATGTCGTGCACATTCACAACAACAACATCGACAAATCATATGCGCTTCACACCCAAGAGTTCCCTAAAGCCTAAGCCCAAAAACATCAAACCCTAAACCCTTGAACCCTAAACCCTAAACCCCAAACCCTAAACCCCAAACCCCAAACCCTAAACCCTAAACCCTAAACACCAACAATCTGAACCCTAGACCGCAGAACCCCAAAGTTGGGCCACGTAGCCGCGTCCGGCTCCAGCAACTCGAGACATGCGCATGCGACATTGAAGGTTTTTCGGGTCTCGGGAGAAGGAGGATCGGCTCGTGGGTTTACGGTGTCAGGTTTAGGGTTTAGGGTTTAGGGTTTAGGGTTTAGGGTTTAGGGTTTAGGGGGGATTTTCTCAAAGGGACTCAAGGAGCGGAGGATTCCTGTCCGCAACAGGTGGCCGTGTCTATTGAGGGCTTTCCTGTTCTTAGGCTGCTGGGCGTGGATGAGGGCCAGCGTGCGCCCGCCGAGCATTCTCTCAACCCCCAACCCTAAACCCTAAACCCTAAACCCTAAACCCTAAACCCTAAACCCTAAACCCTAAACCCTAAACCCTAAACCCTAAACCCTAAACCTTAAGCCCTGAACATTAAACCCTAAACCCTAAACAACCTAAACCCTAAGTCCTAAACCTAAACCCTAAGCCCTAAACCCTAACCCTAAACCCTAAGCCCTAAACCCTAAATCCTTAATCCTAAACCCTAAACCCCAAACCACCCAGAAACCTGGCTTGAGCCAGGTGCCTCCCCGGCGACATGCAGATTGATCTCGTGCGGCACTTGGGAGTAGAGTCCGGCGTGGAGTTTGGGGACCTAAAAATCTCAACCCTAAACCCTCAACCCGAAACCCTCAACCCTAAACCCTAAACCCTGATCCCTAAACCCTAAACCCTAAACCCTCATCCCTAAACCCCCCTTGGGTTTTTTCTGGATGTGTGGGCGAAATGATCTCAAACTCCCAGACCGTTCCTTGCAGCAACTGGTTTTACAGCAAGTGGGCCCCAAAAAGGACATGATGGAGCTCACTACCCCCCCAACCCCCCTCCCGCCTCGCTTGATGCGCTTAAGAGTCGATAAGAGTCGATACGAGGGGATCCAGAGCTTGGGCCAACCCTCTGTAAGCCCTAAACGCGAAAACATAAACCCTAAACCCTAAATCTCAACCCTATGCTCCAAGGTATAAGTTGTAGGAGCCACCATTCAGGGTGACAACGAGGCGGCAACCGGTTCAGGGTTTAAGGGGTTTAGGGGGTTCAGTGGGTTAAGGGGGTTTAGAAGGCTAGTGCTCAGGATTCAAAGGGTTGAGGGTTTAGGGTTTAGGGTTTAGGGTTTTAGGGTTTTAGGGTTTTAGGGTTTTAGGGTTTTAGGGTTTTAGGGTTCAGGGTTTGAAAGTAGGTGGGCCCCAGCACAACTTCACAACAAAGCTTCCCCCGGACCCCTCATCCCCCAAGAAGCGCAAACCTTCATCACCCTAAGCCCTAAACCCTAAAACCCTTAAACCCTTAAACCCTTAAACCCTTAGACCCTTAGACCCTTAAACCCTTAGACCCTTAAACCCTTAAACCCTTAAACCCTTAAACCCTTAAACCCTTAAACCCTTAAAACCTTAAACCCTTAAACCCTTAAACCCTTAAACCCTTAAACCCTTAAACCCTTAAACCCTCTTAAGCCTAACCCTCAACCCTGAACCCTGTGAACCCTCAACGAGGCACGCCGCTCCACCGGCATTCCCATCCAGGCGGACTGAAGGGGCTTCGGAAGCAGCAGCGCGGGGAAGCAAGGGTTTAGGGCTTAGGGCTTAGGGTTTAGGGTTTGGGGCTTAGGGCTTAGGGCTTGGGGCTCAGGGCTTAGGGCTTCGGGCTTGGGGTTTAGGGTTTAGGGTTTGGGGTTTAGGTGTTCATTGTAGTTCAGCTTGCTGATTATATGTATATATACTTAGTTATGTATTCAGAAAACAACGTTACCATGTACACGAATACAATCATAGAATGTGCAAAAAAACACAAGCCAATATTGCATTCCAGTACCATGTTCTACGTTTCAAAGGGTCCTTAAGGGAGGGGGGTTCATGGGGGGAGGGGTTTGGGGTTTAGGGTTTAGGGTTTAGGGTTTAGGGTTTAGGGTTCATGGGGGCAGGTACCTAGGGAACCTTAGGGAAGCTTAGGGTGTCTTCGGGAGTAGTGGGGGTATTAACCTTGGGTGACATACCCCTCTTCAACCCCCCAGAAGGGTTTAGGGTTTAGGGTTTAGGGCTTTGGGTTAAGGGTTTAGGGTGTAGAGTTTTCGGTGAAGCTAAACCGCAATCTTGGTGCTTGAGCCCTAACCCGGCCTCACAATGCCGAAGACGACGCCTCTCAAACCAGCCCTTCGTACTTGTAAGGTTCACTATATACTGGCGTGGATGAATCTTCGCGGGAGGGAGCGAAACCTTAAACCCGACACCCTGCGCCTTAAGATCCTTCAACCCAAGCCCCAAACCCGAAAACTCTAGGCCCCAAAACCCCAGACCCAAAGCCCCAAGCCCAACACTCAAGATCATACACAAGCCCCGAAACCCAAATCCTTGAAGCCCCAAGCCCTAAATCGTAAAACGCCCCTAACCCTAAACCCAAGCCCCAACAACCCGAAAACCCCAAATCCGAAAACCCTGAAACCTTAACTCCAAACCCCAGCCCCAAACCCTAAATTTAAAACCCCAAACCCCAAGCCCTAAACCATAAAACCCCAAACCAAAAACCCTAACCCTAAACCCCAAGCCCCAACAACCCGAAAACGCAAAACCCCAAAACGAAACCCTTACCCTACACCCCCAAGCCCCCTCAACCCTACAAAATCCCAAGCCCTAAGTCCCCCCTAAAGCCGCCCTAAACCCTAAACCCTAAACCCTAAACCCTAAACCCTAATCCCTCAACCCTAAACCCTGAACCCTGAACCCTGAACCCTAAACCCTAACCCCTAAACCCTAAACCCTGATGCCTAAACCCTAAACCCCAAACCCTAAACCCCAAACCCCTAAACCCTAAACCCCAAACCCCAAACCCTAAACCCTAAACCCTAAACCCCAAACCCTAAACCCTAAACCCTAGACCCTAAACCCCAAGCCCTAAAAAAGCCCTCTGCCAGGCGGCCTCCGGCAAAAGCCCAAAAGGGGCCGAACCGGCTCAGAGCCTCCACCGCGCCGCCCTCGGGGCCGCGGGTTCGCGCCATTCTCTTGGGTTTAGGGTTTAGGGTTTAGGGTTTAGGGTTTAGGGTTTAGGGTTTAGGGTTTAGGGTTTGAGGCTTAGGGTTTCGAGTTTTAGGGTTTGGGGTTTAGGGTTTTGGGTTTGGGGTTTCGGGTTCAGGGTCTAGGGTTTAGGGTTTTGGGGTTTTGGGGGTTTTGGGGGTTTTGGGGTCTTGGGGTTGGTTTAGGGTTTGGGGTTTTGGGTTTGGGGCTTTGGGGTTTTAGGGTTTTAGGGTTTGGGATTTGGGATTTGGGATTTGGAGCTTAGGGTTCAGCTCTAGATGCCAGGGCTTGGAACCCTAAACCCGAAAACCCTAAACCCTACACCCTACACCCTACACCCTAAACCCGAAACCCTAAACCCTAAACCCTAGAAAACCCTAAAGCTTAAACCCTAAACCCTAAACCCTTTTCTAGCAGCAGACCATGGGCCCGAGCCCCTAAAGCCCTGGGAAAGGGTTTGGGGTCTAGGGTTTGGGGTTTAGGGTTCAGGGTTTATGGTTCAGGGTTTAGGGTTTAGGGTTCAGGGTTCAGGGTTTAGGGTTTAGGGTCGGGCCGTTCATGGTTTTAGGATTTAGGGTTTAGAGAAAGTTTTGGGTTTGGGAATTCGAGCCCTTTAGGGTTTGGGGTTTGGGGTTTAGGGGTTTCGGGTTGAGTGCGTGATCGAAACCTCAAACACAAGCCCCACTCCCAAGCCTCCTTCTGCTCGCCTTGCGCTGCCTGGGTCTCGAGCTGGATTTATCATAGCAATTTCTGGGCTTATGGAGACCTAAGCCCCGAAGCCCCTAAGCCCCAACCCCCAACTCCTGAGCCTTCAACCTTAACCCTAAACCCTGAACCCTAAACCCTGAACCCTAAACCCTAAACCCTAAACCCTAAACCCTAAAAACCCCCCCAAAGCCCTTGTCCCCCTAAGCCTAAGGAAGAGCAGGCAACCTTCGCACACCTAACTCCCCCTACACCAGCTACCCCAAACCGTAAACACCAAACCGCAATCCGTAAACCAACCCTGGACCCTCAGCCCCTCACGGGGCTCAGCGGGGCTTAGCTCCGATTTCCCCAAAGCAGCCGGCCATGGGTTGCTTGGGGTGCTGCTGCCGGGTCTGCAATGGCATCGCCGTGGCGCACCTCGGAATCCCTAAACCCTAAACCCTAAACCCTAAACCCTAAACCCTAAACCCTAAACCCTAAACCCTAAACCCTAAACCCTAAACCCTAAACCCGGGAGAGAGAGAGAGAGAGAGAGAGAGAGAGAGAGAGAGTAGTGAGTGAGAGACCTCTCCGAAAGCCGGTTGCTAAGCGGACACAGAACCACTTGGCCGTCGCGGCCGGGTCCCTCTCGCTGGGGGGGGAGGCCCTTTTGTGTGCAGAAGAAGAAGAAGAAGCAGACAAAGAAGAAGAAGAAGAAG